CTGCTTCATTCGGCGAAGCGCCTGCATAGCCTGTCGTTTCAATAGATAGGCTTCATCAGGTTAATAGAATTTTGATTTGATTGATTTGATTTGATTCGTCAATATACGAGCGCGTTCGTATTCGAACCCTGGACAATTCCCAAAATCTACAACTCAGGGATTACTGATATCGATAAAAAGCGAGTGAAATTTCAGGAGGGGGGGTATATAAGATGATGGCTAGTTTTGGATCCGGGGCAAAATGAATTTGGGATGTTAGATGGTTGGATTGAGTGATGTCCTCAATCTAGGGCGAAAATTTCTTAATATAAGCCTCTCATATCCTTCTATCAATATCACATTGGCTTCATCTATAAGTGACTACGGTATTCATCCATCAACAGTTTACCCTTCCTTACATGCCTCACTCATTCCCGGTTTTTCATGGCCCCCGATCTCAGCGAAAAGCCATCTCCACTCCTATTCCAACGGTCTGACAGCCGTAAAATTGTTGAAAAGAGGACGCTTTCGAACTTGTTCCATATCCACCCCAGGTACCGAAAAGTCCGGGTGCGTCACCCACTGAACCTCTTTCAACCCCGCCAGCTTCGCTCCACTATCATACATCTTCCTCGGGAGAAACCAACTATGGAACGAGAACGGCTCCGACGTATGCAGCGTCACCTGCACCTTCACACCCCCATTATCCAATTTCTCGAGCACCTCTATGCTCTGCCCATAGTAATTCCATCCCGGCAAGTTTTCCCCTTCTCGATGGCCCCCAAGTCCGGAGTGAGACCGATCACCCGTCCGCCCGGTTTCAAATTATTGAAGATATTTCGCCACATGTCCAGCATTTTGGCCTCGTTCGTCGCGTAGTTCAGGAGCCAGCGGCAGATCACAATGTCGAACTCGCCCATGTAGAGTGGCTGGCCGCAGTCCGCGACGTGGAATTAAACTCGTGGATCGTTCCGGGCGCGTCTTCGCGCAATGTCGATTGTTAGGGGTGATATGTCCACCCCGACGGCGTGCCGTGCTCCCCATTCTGTGACGGTCTTGTGGGTATAGGATCCGGTGTTGCAGGCGAGGTCTAGCACCGTGAGGCCTGAGATGTCGCCCACGAGGGCTTTCATGGCTGCTTGTTGGAGGAAGCCGGTTGGGAGATTCGCGACTTCGGTGTAGCGGTCGCCGATGGCGTCGTATTGTGGAACTGGCATGGTGACTTATTGATGGAGTGAGGTTATTAAGATGATGGGGTGAGATGATCGTGATTTGATGGTGTCTGTCCAGTCTCTTATAGAACTCGATGAGATAGTCGGTCAGGAAGAATTTTGTGGGGACTTTTGTGTGGCGTCCAGAAGAGACCTGGTCTCTGTGGGAGCTGAGGGTCGGGTAGTTGTCAATTGTTGAAGCAAGGGCTCAGCACTCGTCTTGTTGAACTAAAGCCCATTGGTTTCCTTGCAGTGTGTGATGACAAGCTTTTCGCACCTCACAAATCAGCGATGGTTGTTTCCAGTTATGGCTCGTTCACTTTTTTCTTTTCTGCTCTTTATGTGATGAATACTATTGTTGTTTGAGCAAATGGAAAAACCCCACAACATTTGAGTTAGCCAAATCTAATGCGTGCGTGTGTCTTAGCATAGCATGTCAGCAGTTACATAGATGACATTGGAACATAGTTCGCGGTATGGTCACATGGCTAGCATGTGACCATAAACATTCTCCTTTTCGATTATCTGATGACCTTACTCTTGCTTCGTTCCTATTTCTGTCCGACATTCTGTCTTACCTTCGTATAGCCATAATAACATGCTTTCCAATACAAGAGGCTTCAGGTGCCACTGGCACCTGTCTGATAGTCAGAATGGGATTTTAAATGCAACGCGAGTGAGATTGGACTTATCGCCTCTATTGTCTGATGAACTAATATTTTCCACCTCAAAATAAGCTAGCGGGGAGAATAAGCTCAACATTCCGAGCTACAAGGTTAATCATCCCACGAAGAATGCTTTTGGTAGGACAGTTCTGAATGGTATTTCTTATGAGACAATTTACCATGCACAAAGTTTCTTCCTAGTAATTGAGATCTAATAAAAATATCTCATCACATATGTTACACTCTGTTCTACTGGTGCTCTCAAACACACGTGCATTTTATAGATCAGGCACTGTCTGTTTATTTGGTTCTTCTATTGCAGCGCCATCTACAGCCAAAATGCACATCTACAACTTAATTGAAGAATGCTCCACGTTCAAATATGATGACGCGGCCTGCTCGTATTCTATAGAGATGTATGCTTGGTTTGGTTCTTCATACTCCTACCTAAGATAGAGCTGGAAGAGGCACGTGGTCACTCCTGTTTATCATAGCTGATCCAATTCCGTGCGTCGGGTTCGAGTCTAATAAGTACTTTCATTTCGAGTGTTCTGAACTCAAAAGCAGCTCGTAGAATGACAGAAAGAAAGTTAGAAAGAGATAATATCCCGACCCATAAACCAGACTAGATCAATCAGCACATGAAGAGATATTCCATAACTCAGTGCAGGACCAACATTTCAATGACGGCTTGGAATAACGGATATTCAGAAAGCTCTCCTAATTGCTTTTTTCAACTGTTAGATAAGGTAATATGAACCTTTGTGTTCCAGGGAGTCTTGCAGCGGCTTTATGTCTAGGCACAAGTTTTTCGATATCTTATTGGCTTCGCCAATGAAAGCACTTATGGTACAATCTAAATTCAACAAATATTAATAGACTTCTTCTATTGATTTTCATGGCTTGCTCTACTACCATCACGCACTAGGTGGCGGATATTGCGCTATCTGACCAGGGTCTGCGGTGATGTCAATCTCGGTCGATAGATGGGGGGTTGTTTCTACTAGCCTCACATGAGATAATATGAAAGTGTTTATCAGAAGGAATTACGTGCCATCAGTATAATATGGGATAATTGAACTTAGGGATAAGGGGAGAATATAAGATTCCATGCACATTTACCTACCTGCCTTTAACTAGTAACTATATCAACACCGCATACTCCATCCTGACCCCTTCAACATACCAAACCCATCAACCCCATTGACAAAATGTCTAAACCACCACCCAAAAAACAAATCATCCTCAACGCTTTCGTCATGAACACCCCAGGCCACCTAGCCGCAGGTCTCTGGCACCATCCCCGCAACCACACCTCGCAATACAAAAGCCTCTCCTTCTGGACCGACCTCGCCCAGCTCCTCGACCAAGCCGGTTTCCACGCCCTCTTCATCGCCGACACCCTCGGACCCTATGATGTCTATAAGGGTCCCTCAAACTTCGTGCCCGCACTCGCATCAGGCGCCCAGTTCCCCGTCAATGACCCCCTATACCTCGTCCCCGCCATGGCCGCCGCCACTAAGAACTTGATCTTCGGCGTCACGGCCAGCGTGACATACGAAAAGCCATATGCGCTTGCGCGTCGCCTCTCCACTGTCGACCATGTCAGTCAGGGCCGCCTCGCGTGGAACATCGTCACCTCGTACTTGGATTCCGCAGCGCAGAACCACGGACTGAAGGAGCAGATTCCGCACGATGAGCGATACGCCATTGCGCACGAGTACATGGAAGTGGTGTATAAGCTCTGGGAAGGTAGTTTTCGAGACGACGCGGTGATCGAAGACCGTGAGCGAGGCATCTACATTGCCGCTGATGCAGTGAAGGAAATAAACCATAAAGGGAAGTATTTTGATGTCCCCGGGCCGCATTTCTGTGAACCGTCGCCGCAGCGGACGCCGTTTTTGTTTCAGGCCGGTGTGTCGGAGGCTGGGAATGGGTTTGGGGGGAAGCATGGGGAGGCGATTTTTGTTGGGGGTCAGACGCCTGAGGGCGTTAGGGCTACGGTTGAGAATCTGCTGAGGGTGGCGGTGGAGCAAGAGGGTCGGGATCCGAATCATATTAAGATTATTGTCGGGATTAATGTGATTGTGGCGGCGACGGATGATGAGGCGCTAGCGAAACGAGACGAGTATCTGAGGTATGCGGACGAGGAGGGTGCGTTGGCCCTATTTGGGGGCTGGACTGGGGTGGATCTCCCGGGGTATGCAGACGATGAGGACTTTCGGTTCACTGATTCCCCACGAGTACAGTCGCTTGTGCGGCGGTGGTCGGCCACGGTGCCGGGGACGGATAATCTTCCGTGGACGAAGAGACGCATTGTCGAATACTTGAGTGTCGGGGGATTAGGGGCGAAGGTTGTCGGTGGCCCGATAACTGTGGCGGATGAATTGGAGAGATGGGTTGAGATATCCGGGGTGGATGGCTTTAATCTTGCACATGTCACCAACCCGGGCACTTTCGAAGATATTATTGAACATCTCCTGCCTGAGCTCCGTCGCAGAGGTCTGTTTCGGTCGGAGATACCCCAAGATGGTGCAACTGCTCGAGATGTTTTCATCGGTACGAAACGACTGCCTGAAGATCACCCTGGCAGTCAATACAAATGGCGAGCTGGGGAATCAATTCCCAGTACAAACTGAACGAGAACAAGGGAACAACAGAGGTGTAGGCGGATGTTGATTTTGGTAAGTAAAGACTGATATGCAATAGAAATTCATTATCAGTGGCCATGTATTCGAAATTTAGTTAATTCTTGCATTTCCTAAGCTCAGATTCTATGAAACCTGCCTGTTATGAAACTTCCACTCTATTGGACTCGGGCGCTCCATAATGCGCAATTTTTAGAATCTTCATTCTCTTTAGAACAGCATTGTCGATCGCGTCGAAGTCTTTTCCAGCATCGCCGCCCTCACGCGCCGCTCCAAACGCCAGCCCTAATCGGGCCTTCAAGTAATCGCCGCAGTAGAACGGTGTTGTACTTGATTCCTTCGAGTTTGGATCGACGGTTGGGTCTGATAATTCTGCATCTGAAAAGGATACGAGTTAGACAGGCAATGGGAAGAAAGCAAAAGAGGTTGTTTATACCATTATTTGGAAGCACAAAATAAGCGATACTCAGCCTTTCCTGTTCTGCCGCCACATGGTCCCAACTGACTCTGGAATGCGGACTTCAGCTTCTTGTTCGTCCAGAGAGATAGTGCATCCGCAATGTTGACCACCACGCCCCCGGGGATCGTCGGGACACCCATCCACTGATTATCGGGGTCTCGGATCTCAAGGCCTGGCGTTTCGCTAAATAGTAGAGTGATGCTGCCCCAGTCTGTATGCTCGGACAAACGGGGAACACCGTCCGGCTGCGTCTCGTATCGAGGATACCTGATGAGTTTGAGTGCGTTGCCGGGGTCTTTGTGCTGATGTCTGGATTCATAAAATGACTTCTCCAGACCCATTCAAACGGCAAAGCAGGACAGAATGGTCAGGCTGAATTCGTAGCAGCTCGCTTTGAAGTCCTCGATCTCTTGCAGTCGGGAATGGTTCCACCAGGCGGGAAGATTCGGTCGGTCGAAGAGGCGACCGGCTGGCATACCGAAGGCAATGCCTTCAGAAGCAGACCAACCATATAAATAGTGCGATAGTTTCAGTCCTTGCTCATTATGTCATTTTATGAAATGTATGGTTTGGGTCGAGACTTATGTTGTGAGCTGCTTTCCATCGTAACCGGTCATCGTTGCGTTGAGGACCTTCTCGGTCTTTTGTTCTTTAGGGAGGTCTAAGAATTGCGTAGACTTTCGGATACATCAGTATCAAAAGATATACGAGGCCAAGGTATGGATATAACTATATTAAGGTTTCTCGCAAACTTACCAGTTCATACATGCGATCAGCATTTGATAAACCATGGTTGGTGAGAATAAAGAAGCCCCATTCTTCACCAGCTTTGAAGATATCTCTAGCAAAGCCATCAAAGTCGGTGCTGTATCTAGAAAAGTCCAGCACAGGAAAGCCAGTTCGTGTAGACATGGTCGATTAAGGCTTGAGTGCAGGGCAGTGCTCCGAGGATAGACAGAAGAAACATGGGTGTTATTGTGCTAGGACATGTCAGATGGTCTTAACCCCGCCTTTTATATTAAAGGCTGCATGTCAGACTTCTAAGCAAAGGTCGCGCTTATCTTTACCAAACAAATTCTCTCCTTACTTGGTCGCTCATTCCCAAGTCGCTCATCCAAGCTTGATGCTAGTAATTCATTCTTCCCTGATTCGTAGACGAATGATCAACAATCCTCTCTTTCTATCATAAACCCAGTTGTCTAGTCTTTCTCTATTTTCTTCAACATACGTGCGAGACATAACCATAATATTAATAAACCACCTGAACATCCGATAACTGTTGGCGGCATGACTCCGACTCCTTGAACCTGTGCCATGGCCCCCACTGCGAATGGCAGTACCGCAGCCCCGGCTCCGCCAACAGCGGACGCGAAACCAATAGAACTCACATGTAATTCCCGTGGGAGAATTCTAGTGACGACCACTATGATTGATGGGAAAAGGGGCCCTAGGAAAAAGCCTTGCAAAGACACCGCGACTGCGGCAGCGTAGAAATTTGGCAGGAAACAGAATGCACAGCCAAATATGATCACAGCCACAGTGTAGACCTATAGTCACAATTAGCTTCGATATTGCTATCTAAGGCCGCTGTTCCTTTCTCGCAACAAACATGGATAAGGAGAACGAGGAATAATCGAAAGGGAAGCTAGGGGCTGAGTGTATCTTACCGTAATTGCCAATGCTTGTCCTAGTCTTGATGTGACAAACCCAAGAATGAATCGACCGCACGTAAGGCCCAGCCAGAACCCTGTAGCAGCCATACCACTAGCAAAAGGATCTGCGTGACGCACCCTCATCATATATGTCACTATCCAGCCACCTATGGTGACTTCAACTCCCACATAAACGAGAAGATAGGAGGCGCAGGTCCAAGTCACCCACGCATATGGTCTCTGAAACAATGCACGTCGCAAGCCACCACGTTGACTTTCCTCGCTATTCTCAGTGGTTTGAGAATCCTCCGGCCCAGAATCCCAAAAGGCGACCATACAGACAACGACTTCAATAGCAGCACAGACAGCCTAATTCAGAGTGAGCCAAGATACCTCTCTTAGGACCAACGGAGATACATACCAAAACATTGTAAAATCGAAACCATGGAAGATTGATTTTGCTCAAGAGTAGAGTCGCAATTAACGGACTAACCATTGCTCCAACGCCATATAAGCCATGCAATATACCGAGAAGCTCATTGGAATTGCTCATGGCGCCTATCCAGGCGTTCCATCCCGAGTCTGCCACGCCATTTCCTATACCTCCGATCGCAAGCGTTGCCACGAGGATATAGTACGATGGATGGAATGAGACAACCCCAAATGTGAACAAATGGCACAGTGAGTGGATACAAGCGATTCCACGCCGGCCTAGTCGCACATGGATTTCGTTGTTCACCAGAGCGGCAAACATATAGCCACACACAGGAGACAAGAAGAGAACCGAAACGGCTGTGTAGGATATGTCATAGTACGACTCGAACTGTTCATTTTGTCAGGGTGTTCGTTCGTGCGCGTTACAGCTATGGATCCTACTTACGTATGGAAGCAAAGGCTATCTATGTTAGTTCTTAAACGTCCATATTTTTCAAATTGTTGACTTACCCCATATGCGGCATCGCCTGCTCCCATAACCAAGAAAGTCCAGTATACCGCTAGCACCTTTGATGATATGGATTGGAGAGAAGCCAATCGCTCCTGGCGAGTTCGCGGCTGTCCCCCATCTTCCAGAGACGCGTGATCGGAGTCATCCCGGAGTAATGGGGTTTCAACAGTGGTCATATTATTGATATAGTCAGTCTGAAACACCGATTGCTTCATTGGGTAGCGAGTAGATGTTGTATTTGAACCCAGAAATTGGGTGGTGTGGGAGAGTGCAAATGCGACATGTCAGGTGAGGCACCCAGTGGAGCACGGTACACTGCCCGTAACGGAGTAGGCAAAGACTGGCATGTTTCTACCCACGCCGAGAACATATCTCCCGAAGGCGGTAAGGTCAATAAAACAATTTGAGGTATAGATAAAGCAAGCAACTTTCTGCAGCAGCAAATGATTTCTGTTAATTGATTACGATAGTCGCACTGATTAGTAGAAAAAAAAATGTGCTGCGATATCTCGGGTAGCGATCGACTCTCAAAGGACTGACTGAGTAACACTGAGCGCCTCCTTGAGTGATGCGATCGCTCACCTTGCACACGCTCTTATGGTAACGACACTGCTGCCTACAGTTCTTTCTGCGGTACAACAACTTGTGTAATCCAACTTCCGATGACAAGACCAATTAGTATACTAGTGTTGTATCACGAGGTGATTGCGACACGCTGTTTGGGATGCGCGAGCTCAGTAACGAGGCCTGGAGTTGCCACTTGCTGAGAATATGCTCCCAGACCCAGTATAACCTTCCCACCAGTAAACATTGCGAAACTGGTGGCAAATGTCTCCATAATGGCCATAGCAACAATGATCCCAGCACCGACTGAGCACATAGCTCGCCGCCCAAACTTCTCAACGAGTGGACCACCAATAGAACATGCTATGATACCACCGACAGATGTTGCTGCACCAAAAAAGCCGACTCGTGAACCGGGAGGATTGCCGAATGTATCCATGAACTGATCAACAGATTGTAGGCTATTGGTGAGGGAAAGATCGAATCCCCACGCCGTAGATGTCAAAAGCGGCGCAAGAAGCAATAGATAGAACTTGATTAAACTGGTCGAATTCCACCTGGAAGGCTCCTCTCGATTGAGGACTTGAAGTCGCGTTTGGAAAGATTCGGCAGCCATTGATGAAAAGAGACAGCGATAGAGGACAAGAAGGTTATGTATATCAGAATTCCCCAGTTCCAGCGCAGCGTGTCATAAACATCACCACTTCAAGACGAGGACGATAGGTCTCTTATACGTTTCTCTTGAAGGCGTGAACTCAACTTCATAAATTAGGGTCCCTGCGCAAAATCAAGATCTCTTGTCACCAACAGACGAAAGAAGGTCTGCTTCCCCCTCAGTATTATTAAAGGCCGAGATGTGCTCAAGACAGGGGTAAAATTGTCTCAAAGCATTCTAGCTTTAACCCCGGTTCAACGAGGCTAAACAGTGAAAACCCGAACCTATGGATATAGGGTTCTACCCGAGGTTGCTACCCCGAGAGCGGGGAGGGTGCGTATAGGTAACTTTCCCGTTTCTTTGCCACTGAACATGGCAGGAAGGACACAGATGTCAGATATCCTGACTATTGACGTGTTAAGTGCTTGAATTCTAATGAAATACGAGAATCGTGGAGACGATGACCTGACCTGTATCCAGGTCCACTCTAGATCCGATGTGCACTAACTATATATGGAGTGGCGTAAGGTAAATCGGCGCAAGGACCAGCATTTGAGCTTCAATCATTTGAACCGTAGATTCCGACAGCTCGACTGAATGCACATATTAGTGCTGTACGAAAAAGACGTCTCACCTAGAAATATCTGGTGGCACAAGTAACATCATCGAGAGGGCTTGCAGAATGCTTCCTCTAAAGAGAGTGCAGGCCATAATGTCTGATTATGCGGTCAGAAAACGCCACTATTCCAGACCAACAACTTTCCAACACTTCGCGTATAATGAGCATTCTAGTCCTAGACAACGAGAAACTGCGTTCTAGGTAATTGTTTGGCCTTGTTAGAAGGCCATCCACCCCCAGAAGATCATGGCACTCGCTATTTTGAACTCTAGACCTAAATGACGGGGAGTGTCGGGAAGCCTTTTGTTTCAAACGAACATCATTGGATGTCATATGCCAATTAGTACCAATTTAGCTCATCCATGTTTCTAGCTAATGTGTTCACACTTTATTCCCGATCTCTGTACCCATCAGGTGGCATATTGCCTTCTCATTCGGGTATCATTCTCATTTTTATCCCCATTTTAGGCTGAATCATCAACTTACTTGTTCCAGTGGATTTCAAGTATACTCTCTGTCTCATACGGGAAGATAGCTTCTTTACCTTTATCATCTGACAATATAGATTTATTCGCGAGGCCACCAAAAGCCAGAAGCTACAGCAGTTATTCCAACCTTGAGGTTGGCTATCCTATCTATGAAGCATACACCCCCCAGTATGAATAACAAGGGTCGATCTGTGTGCCTCTCTTCAGCAAGTACTTCAATCTTGCTTCGAAGTAAAGCGGGAAACGCCATAATACTGAACTGTCCACACCTGTTAACGGTTGGATAATAATATCCCGAAGCATATAAGTGTGGTAACTTCTAAAGTTCTCTTTCTCATGTAATCTCTTGATGAAAAGGACACAATAACTCCGGTGCCTATTTCCTCTCATCTTGGTTCCGGCAATCATTATCCCGAACACATAGAGTGGAGAAGTCAAAGCAGGGTTATCTAACTATTATAGTGCTTTGAGAACGAAGGACTTCTGCCTTTGGGGATGATCGGAATTGGCATTAATATTGCGGAAAATCCGCCATGCCCTTTTTGTGACTTGTAACCTTCACCGATTGATCTAAGGTACGACTACTACACCCCCTTTCACTGTCTTGATCATCCGCTTTTCGTTTTGCCTTTCTGCTTTTCTCCAATTTTTATTACTTTTTCTCTATTTCGCCGAAAAAATGCTCGCACGCAACCCTATCATCCCGGGGTTCGCACCAGAGCCGTCCATCGTCCGTATTCAAGACACGTTCTACATTGTCAATTCGTCATTCCATACTTTCCCAGGGCCCCCGATTTTCGCATCCAAGGACCTCATTACATGGACGCACATTAACAATGCTATAAATCGCAGTTCCCAACTAGACCTGACGAAATCCGGCACATGTCTCAATGCATCCGATAATGGATCATTGGACAAAGCTCCCGCTACAGGTGGATTGTACGCCCCAACTATTCGGCATTATAATGGTATCACTTACATTGTATTATTATTATTTAATCAGGTTTATTGTCCATATCGAGCCCCTGGGGCTATGACAAACCGTGTGTCGACGGCCTAAGGCCTAGCCTCAGGCCCCTATCAGTTCCTAGGGCTATCCCCTCGTTTTAATTACACTCTGTTCCTTTTCCTCGCCCCATACCGCCTTCTCGCGCAGGGCTTTTGAGCGCTCTTGTTCTCCTTGGGATTTTAGCAGGATGGGCATAGCCTAGGCGTGCCCAGGCTACCCTTCCTGTTAGCCTTCTCCGGTTCGTTCAGCTTACTCTAGGGCTTCTAGGCCCTATTCGTTGTCTCTCTCCGCTCTGTGTTGATCCTTCTGGTGTTGACCTCCGGGAAGGGCCACGTCTGTATTAGCTATAAAGTCCAGTAGGGCTTTAGTAGCTTTAGGTTCCTTGAAGAGCCTGCTTTCCGGGTAGTTTTCTTGTACAGAAGGCCTTGCTATTCCCGCTCTATCTAGAGCTGTATATAGCACCTCTCGTTGACATCGCCATTGCCTGCAGCTGACTAGTATATGAGAGACTGTCTCCCTAGGAGCTTGGCAGTTTTGGCAGGTCGCTCTTTCCCGAGATTTTATGCGGTGTAGATATGAGCTGATAGCTGCATGTCCTACCTTCATCTGGAAGTATCAGCTAGCTAGGCTCTTAGTAGCTGATGCTGCTATAGGATCCAGTTGCCAGCCTCTCCCAGACTTATAGGTTTTCTGAGTCGATTTTAGTCTCCGGTTTAGGCTATTTTCTAGCCAGTGTTGTCTATTTGCTCTCAGTACCTCTGTACGGGTTCTGCGAGTAATTGCTAGTGAGATCTCTCTGCAGCCTAGACCCGGTGTTTGCGTTACTGCTTGTTTTGCTGCTTGATCTGCCCTCTCGTTTCCTTCTATACCTGCATGTCCTGGGACCCATTGAATTATCGGGACCTGGCCCCTAGATAGCAGGTCCTGAGCGGCTGTGCGTATATCAGCAGCTATAGCCTGACCTGGTACAGATCCTGCAGGTTGTAGCATGCGTATAGCTGCTTGAGAGTCAAGTAGTATAGTAATTGGTCCTTGACTTTCTATCTTTCTCGCTAGTTGTATTCCCTGATAGACTCCCAGAAGCTCTGCATCGAATGTAACGAACGGCTACACAGGCGATGAGGAATCGCGAGAATGTAGGGTATGCATTCAACGAAGAAACTAAGGTAGTTTGTGAAGCTAGTCCCGATCGGGTAGTTAGGTCATAGGTTATCACGAAGGAATGTCTTCGGAGGCTGGTCACAGTCCGTGACATTGGTCTGATCGAGGATGTAGCAGGAGCATTGTTAATATTGAAGATCAGGGTGGATTGCCCTAAACGTGAAGAGATTTGGAGGAGGAGAAAGTCTGATAGTGCTTCTTGGTCGATAATATTAGGGCGGAGCTGAGAGGACTGTATACCTTTTTTTTTTTTTGGATATAGGTAAGGACTCTAGGTCGGCCGCTTAATACCCAGCTGTCAGTTGGGGAAAAATATTCGTATAAGGGGTGTCTTTTGGTAATCTTGCGGATGAGATCCTTATATATATAAGGTTCCTGTATCAAGATAATGTCGATACTATTGGAGAATGCCTGGGATAAGGTAATTTCATGAGCTGTAACGTCGCGGCCTACATTCAGCTGGAGTATTGAGAGAGAATCTGTCTGGTAGTTCAAAAATCTTATAGTTTTTCGTTCATTAGAATTCCAAACTGATTTTGTAGTGGTAGTGTGGCGAAGCGTACTGCTCTAGCTATAACTGGAGGGGGGTCTGTTAGTCCTTGTTGAGGGGGAGTAACTGGGCGGGATAGAGAGGTTGTAGGATGGCTGTCGATAGACATATCCTGATCCTGCGAGGCCCCAGGGGTTGCAGGGGCTGCGGAAGGCCGGGAGCAGCATTTACTCTCAATCCGTGCCTTAGAGAGGGTTAAGGAGCAGGTCTTACGGGTCTCAGCCTGCTGGGCCTTTGTGAAACGAGAACCTGGTTTGCTAGGCCGGAGGAGGCATAGGTCATAGTCTGCTGGATAGGGGCCATGGCAGTGTAGGCATCTTGGGGGGCAGGCATGAGAAGCTGCAGCAGCACAATAATTAGTGTGGCCTTCCTCAGTGCTTTGAGTAGAGCCGTAGAAGCGGCAGCGAGAGTTACGTGCGCAAGATAGCAGCGGTTGCATTGCAGGGTCTTAACCCTTCTAGATAACTAGCGGTCGGGTTGAGTGTGGCCGGCAATGGGCGATCGTCCCTGATCCCGGGCACGGTGCCCGGAACGAGAACTACATATGAGTATTCGAAAGAGCTCTTGTAAATCTATTCTTAGCACGGTGCTTAGAATCGAGGGGTGTGTGTCTGAAATCAAATCAGTTAACTAGTTATTTGGGTCGAAGGGGGCTTGGCGACATGTATCACGTGGTGGCGCTAGTGTTTCCCCCCTTTTCTCTCAGCCCTTGGCGATACCTCCTTCTCCTTTGCTCTAAACAGCAAGTTTCCTACCGGCAACAGCCCAACAAATACAACTTGGTTTACCGGCCTCTTGAGAGGCCGATCACATTCTGCAAGGATGCAAGCAGCGATGTTGTCAGGACACGCATTCCCACGCGGAACCCTTACCTGGTTCCAGCCTGGAGACCTCGAGTCTGTATACGACCCAGAATAATCCAAATAGTTCACCCGGAGGCCATGGTTATTATACGGCAGCTGCCGGCCTTCCGGGATTAGGCGAGTGGCATAGTCTGGACGAGTATGCCATCTGTACGCCGCCAACCGTCAGCATTCCTCTCTCAGCTCCTAGCCCCCTGAATTGGGATTTTTGGAGCCAGGACGGTATGCTGGGCAGCCTTAATACCGACACATTACCCGCTGTTGTACCTGATTTTCAAATTGATGCTGGTATGTACTTTGAACTTTTTTACATGACGTTGATGAGACTAAGACGCTGCAGAATTTGTTCCGTCACTTCACTCCCCGTCAGCCGCGAATATCACCCAACCCTATCCATACACCCAGTGCAGTCAGGATGACAACTCGTCCGCTGAGAATCCAGCCTGCGTGACCTTACAAAACCCGCCTAGTGGTGGCAGTTCTACCTTCACCGTGCCACTGGCATCTCGCAAACGAGAGGCCGAGTCGGGAAATGCCCTACTTAAGCGCGAGCGCAATACTATTGCAGCACGGAAATATCGACAGAAGAAGATTGAACGAATCGAACAATTAGAGAAGGCACTTGAAAAGATGACCAAGGAGAGGGACGAATTGAAGTTGCGATTGGCATCGAAGGAGGCGGAAGCAGATCTATTAAAGAGCATAGTGGGCCGGGGCGCCTGACAATTATAGTCTAGACAGTTGGAGTGATGACGGCCACCAATAGGTTCATATGGTTGAAGCGGTGCTAGTAATGTTGCCTTGTTTCTTGCACATATAGCAGGGGTGGTTACAAGCTGCCTAGCAGTGCTAGTGGAGAAAGAACTTGAATAGGTGGTAGTGTATTAGAAGTCGGCAGATCCGCTGCAGACGTAGGCGTTACCACAGCTTTAAATCTAAAATGTATCGGTTGCGCCGAAGGAATATATGCTATCTTTCAGTCACCCCATATCAAACGGGTCATGAAAATAGTCGTCAATTGTTTGCTGCACTGTTTGCCAAAGATTGTGTTCTACCAACAACATTCGGAAAGTGGAAGATGTGTCGTCTGGATGTTTCTATTAGAGTGGCCACACAATCCACGGCGAGGTAACGAATCATGACATCTGCCCGCCTACAAGTCTTAAAAACTGTTCAGAACTATCTATTGCAGTAGCAGATTGGCGGTCTCGGTGTCCAAAGTTTGTCTGGTCTCTCATTACGGACTAGCCCTACCCAATGTACTCCGCATACTTGATGAAATCAGCATCACACCGTAGCCTTTCTATATCTTCAAGCCGCAAACATAATGCAACTACGATCTCGCCTTCAAGAGTCTTCGGCAATACGAAGGTCAACCCCTCTACCTCATTACATCTTGGCTTCCGCACAGCCTCGGGCAACCCCAAACCAAGATTGAAGTCAAAGCGATAGCTCTCCACTTTCGCCCACGAACTGAGAATAAGATCCGTTGTGGTATCGAGCTTTGCGCCAAAGGAGAAAATACTCTTGTCGGATGTGCAACTGAGAAAGGTTGCAACGGCGCGCGTGTGGTTCGCCAAACGGGATTTGTCGTTTAAGGCTGATCGAAGCCGCAAAGCAACACCTCCTAAGGACTCCTCAGTCAACTCTTGAAGGGTAAACCCAGTGTATACATTGCTTTGAATGGGTCCCGGATAGAACGGAGAGATCCCGAGAAGGCCCCGCACATCAACGGCGCGCATGAGAGTAGAGCGTATAGAAGGGTCCAATCGGAGCAGACGGACTCGAGCGACAGATTGCCAGATGAAGGCGGTGAGAGCATCATCTGTAGAGACAAAGGACGGTGATGTGAGAGATCCCATGGCGACCAATTTCAGTCTTATCAGAGAGCAATGCGAAAATTTGAATGACGTCCATGTACAATTCGGTAGAAGAGACCCTCGCACGCCAGACGGGTTACTGTATGGCGCGGTTTTGACAATGTAACGATCAAGCTCGGCACCCATCATGTCACTGTGTTCGAGCAGCGGAACGATATTTCGGCGGGGAAGATTGGTGCATCGAAGTTCCTGGTCGTTGAACGATTCATTCCGGCAAGCCTTTGAAAAGAGATGGATAATGTGGCCTAAGCCGATAGCATCCATGGCATTGTGCTGTGCGACGAATGTAAGAAGGAGACCACCAGCATTAAAATTTGCCTGAACGAGAAACACGGGTGCTGATTCCGAATTGTCTTCGGGGAAAATCTTCCGCGGCGCCAGAATGTCCTGATCGAGCATACTCATTGGGAAATTAGCACGCCGCAGGACTTCCATAGTCGCTACCAAGGAGTCAGGCTGAAGATTTTTCACTACCAGCTTCGGCACATTTTCCAGCGGCCTAATCAAGAACCGGCCTGTATCGCCATCGCCCGAGCCCTCATTAACGACTTGTCCTGATAACCACGGAAAACTTGCATGAAGTCGCTCAAGGCCTCGGGCAAGAGTGTTGATAACCACTGACTGTGCAGGAGCGGAAGCATCAGGAAGAGAAAAGCAGAAACATGACTGAATATTGATCGTGAAAGTCTGTTGACCAAAAATATCAAGACATTCATCCATGGCGCAGGGGTATGCGAAGTGAGAATTTGGCGGATAGGTGACCAATTTGTGCCAAATTCTCCCAGGACCCCCTGTGGGGCCATTCCATCAAGCCACCCACTGATTCGCAACCTATGCACTATGACTCATAATGAGTAGGTATGGGGCTTATCCGAAATTGGGCGATCCGCCGCAACTTTAAAAATTCAGCGTTAACCGGAACAAGAAACTGCAAGTATATAGGCACGTTCCGTTCCATATAGGCATATGGCAAATCATTTCGGTCAATACTGCGTCTCCTACATCTCCCGTTGGATGGAGTTGCACAATAGGGATACAACGAGGATTAATTGGACCCAGGGCCAGCCACGTCGATGCCGGTGAAAAGCTACTTGGTAAGGACTGGGCCGTCACATCTCCCGCTCCGTGACTGACATTACTATGTGATAGCGGGTGTTCACCTACAATGATCGCCTGGGATGGGCTCTCAATGTTATCGCCTTTGTCTGCATGATAGCCTCTGGCACACTGCTCCCCTTGATGGACCTAATCTTCGGTAAAGTCGTGTCTGTCTTCAACGACTTCGCCGCCGGAGCGCTCAGCCCAGTGAAATTCCGCTCTGACGTGATGGACTACACGTAAGCTCCTTCATCGAACCTTTCCTGGCTCAAGTCCCACATTCAGCATGGTTACTGACACGGGCTCCAGGCTTTGGTTCATCTACCTCTTTATTGCCAAGTTCGTCTTGACATATACTTGGAATGTCAGTGGTATTAGTCTTTGATATGTCTAAGGATTAGCTAATCTTGCCAGGTCCTCGTTTCTATTTCTGCAATTCGCACAACTAAGAACCTCCGAGTGAGCTTCTTGCAAGGGGTACTACGCCAGGAGGTTGGCTACTTCGATTCTCCGGAGGCAGGCTCCATCACTGGTCAGATTACTACTAATGGCAACCTTGTCAATGGTGGCATCTCCGAGAAACTTGGTTTAATTATCCAGGCGGTATCGACATTCGTGACTGCGTTCGTAGTATCCTTCTCGGTGCAGTGGAAGCTCACACTTATCATTGTGTGCATTGTGCCGACGAGTCTTATCGTTACAATGGTGACTCTCGCGATGGATACCAAGTATGAGCAGGAGGCCATGGGTCTTTACGCGAAAGCCGGCCTGGTGGCTGAAGAGGTACTTTCGAGCATCCGCAACGTCCATGCTTTTTGGACATATGACTTCATGTCCAAGCGATACGAGGCGATCCTGGAGCAAGCGAAATCGGTTGGACACAAAAAATCGCCCATCCTAGCCGTCTTATATTCATTCGAATTCTTCTGCATCTACGCGGGATATGCTCTTGCCTTCTGGCAAGGCATCCGCAGATACGCGAGCGGCGAAATCAGCGAGTCAGGAAAAGTTGTCACGTGAGTACATAATAACTTCACAGCTGCTAGATATGGTATATTGACAACCTATGGTGTAGTGTCATCTTTGCCATGGTCGTCGCAGCTCAGGCTCTCACGCAGGTGGCGCCGCAAATTGTCCAGATTTCTAAGGCTGCTGCGGCCGCAGATGAGATATTTCGGATCATTGATCGCGTATCCAAGATTGACCCTCTGTCATCTGGAGGTATCAAACCCGACAGCTGTCATGGATGTATTGAATTCCACGATGTTACCTTTTCGTATCCATCTCGATTGAGTGTGCCGATCTTAAAGAGATTGAGTTTGTCAATCCCAGCCAACAAGACTACCGCGTTAGTCGGCACGAGCGGTTCCGGTAAAAGCACTATCATCGGTCTTATCGAGCGATGGTACGCGCCTTCTACGGGTGCAGTCACACTGGACGGCCACAAGATTGAAGATTTGAATTTGAACTGGCTACGGACTAACGTTCGCCTGGTCCAGCAGGTAGGAACACCATAATTCTCAGCTTAACTCTTTGTTAACTTGTAGTAGGAGCCTATTTTATTCAGCGGAAGTATATTTGAGAACGTAGAACACGGGCTAGCATCGACAGAACTGAGAGGCCTACCGCGAAGCGAGAAGCAAAGACTTGTTCAGGAAGCTTGCAAGGCGGCTTTTGCCCACGACTTTATCGACCAATTACCGGAGGTACCTAGCAGTCTCACCTGGTATTATTACAATACATACTTACTTACCATGAAACTTGGCCTAGGGTTACGATACCCAGCTTGGGCAACGCGGTTCCATGCTTTCCGGAGGTCAGAAACAACGGATCGCCATTGCGCGCAGCATCATTTCGAATCCCCGCATTCTCCTGCTGGACGAGGCTACAAGTGCATTGGATCCAAATGCAGAACGAGAGGTACAAAAAGCGTTGAATAACGTAGCCTCTGAAAGGACGATGGTTGTGATCGCACACCGCCTGTCTACTATCCGCAATGCTGACAACATTGTGGTCATGTCGCATGGTGAAGTTATCGAGCAGGGCACTTATAGCGAGCTTATTGCTCAAGGCGGCCAGTTCGCAAGACTTGTCCAGGCTCAGAATCTAACACACGGCGCCGTGGATACCAGTCAGCAGGATAAAGTTCAAGATGGCAGTGACCTAGGTTCGGAACTAACGGAGGTCCCCTCTATTACGAACTCAGCGAACTCGGTGTCGGCTGCTCCCGAGAAACGCGAAAGTAGACTACGTTACAGACTAGCAACTTGCGTTGCCATCGTTCTCCATGAGCAGCGGGCTTTATGGCCAATCTTGACCATCGGTTTCGCATGCTGCCTGGATGCAGGTAAGTAGGCACGCAAAGTTTAATTTGAATGGGGGTGACAAAAGCTAATCTCTAAGGCCTGACTTATCCTGCTATCGCGATTATCTTTTCTAGGGCTATAAATGCCTTCGATAATCGAGAGGATGGTTCAAGTAGTCGTGGAGATTTCTACGCCCTTATGTTCTTTGTGGTGGCACTGGCGAATGTGCTGGCTTACGCGATTTTCGGCTGGGTGAGCAATGTTGTAGCCCAGCACATCCTCAAGAGCTATCGTCTTGAACTCTTCAGCAACATTATGCGGCAGGACATGGCATTCTTCGACTATCAAGCTCATTCTACCGGCGCCCTGGTGTCGCGCTTGTCTGCTGAACCACAGAATATCATGGAACTTTTTTCTATGAACCTCGGGATGATTTTTGTTAACATCGTCAACGTGGTCTCTAGTTGTGTTCTGGCTATAGCAATCGGCTGGAAATTGGGCCTTGTACTTACCTTTGGTGCTCTGCCTCCATTACTGGCGGCAGGTTACGTGAGAATTCGTCTTGAATCCAAATTGGATGAGGATACCAACGAACGGTTTGCTAACAGCGCTGGACATGCTACGGAAGCCACTCTTGCAATACGCACCGTTGCCTCCCTTGCGCTAGAAGGCTGTACGATCGATAAGTTCAGCCATTCTCTACAGGGGATTGCTGAGAGATCATTGAAGGTTTTGGTTTGGAATATGTTCTGGTACTCACTCAGCCAGTCCATATCATTTTTGGCGATGGCACTTGGCTTCTGGTAAGTGCTCTACGCTACAGTTTTGTTGTAAAGTGTTTTTGCTAACTTTGCCAGGTATGGCGGTCAACTTCTATCGACAGGCGAGTATAGTTCCATCCAGTTCTTCACGGTTTTCATAGCGGTCATCTTCTCTGGGGAAGCGGCTGCCATGTTTTTCCAATTCACTACAAGTATCACGAAGGCACGTACCGCAATCAACTATATATTGACCATAAGATCGCATGTCAATCCCAGTATGGAAGATAGCCCTTCTGAGAAAGATGAGACAGGAGATGGACGTGGCGCAGCTATCGACCTGCAGGAACTTTATTTTGCATATCCACAGCGCCCACTTTTACAAGTCTTACAGGACATTGATACACATGTAAGTTTGCTCCTGAGTTCCTCGGAGGATCCACTTTTAATATTGTAGGTTGAGCCTGGCACATTTGTTGCCTTCGTTGGTCCCTCCGGCTCTGGTAAGAGCACAATAATCAATTTGCTGGAGCGCTTCTATGAGCCGACTTCTGGGAGGATTTTATACGATAATTCTGATGCGACTGCAAGAAATCTGAGCCTCTACCGGTCCGACATTGCTCTCGTCCAGCAAGAACCAGTACTCTACCAAGGATCGATTCGGGACAATATAGCTCTTGGCCACGTTTCGTCCATTCCACCATCTGACGAGGCCATTATGGCAGCTGCTGAATCGGCAAACATCCACGACTTCATCCTTTCTTTACCCGAGGGGCTCAACACCCCCTGTGGTGCTCTGGGCACGCAGCTCTCAGGAGGCCAGAGACAGCGGATTGCAATTGCCAGGGCATTTATACGGAACTCACGTCTCCTGCTTCTGGATGAGGCCACAAGCGCCTTAGATACGGAAAGTGAGAAGGTGGTCCAGGCTGCAATCGACCGGGCTTCGGATGGTCGGACGACTATTGCAGTGGCGCACCGTCTAAGTACTATCAGGGACGCTGATTGCATTTTCGTCTTTTCAAAGGGTCACATTGTTGAGTCGGGAAGTCATTCTAAGCTGCTCAATTTGAGAGGCCTGTACTTTGAAATGAGCATGGGACAGAGCTTGGGTCAATCGGCGTCCTGAATTGTCCACTCCTAGTACCTAAAATGCCGATACACCTTGTTCCCCAAGACACTGGCTGTAATAAGGGTAAGATATGCACTCTACAGGTGACAAACTGGCCAGGAATTGCGATGGAGGACTCCGTGGATCAATGTTATGTTTTCCTCCGACCAATGCAGTTGCCACATTTGTTGAAAGCCTTGGTGAAACCGAGTTTGGTCATACCAAGTGATGACCCCTCTCACGAATGGAGTTCTATGTTTCCACAACCTCTTCTACTCTCCAGTCGGTTCCCACTTGTGGACCTTGCTCTCTGCTCTGATATTGGCACAAACATGTGACTGCTCTATCGAGTACACTAACTTCATCTGTCATCGAACTTCTCAAGCACCGGATCTCACTTATCAGTCCAACCTGTGAGACAGTCTTGTAAAGTATGCTGGCCTGGAGTGAGTGTCAGTCCTTGAAAACAAAGCAGTATTGAGTCGACAGCGGTAATGGTAAAGCCATGATAGCCAGATTAATTGATGTTGATTGACCTGAGGACAACTCTATTACAGCCGCGGAACTGCTTCATATATATTCGTTCTCGGTGGCTGAAACAATGTGACAGAGATGAAAATATGTATATATATAATGTGACCACCTGGATTATGATAAATCAACAATCGACATATCTGCCTTTCTGCCCATCCGCACCGTCCCGCTGTGCGTGCGCCACGGCGTAACCGTCACTTTGGCCTTCTTTTCTTCTAAATACACAAATTATCAACGCGCCGGGCCTGGATCCAAATCAAATATCTCCCTTTCGTTTTGCGCTACTATTGCTGCTTCAATTAATGTCTCGCTCTCCTATGCTACTATGGGTGGTGGTTTGCGATTGTATCTTTTCTAATAGCCCCTTGCGAATCTCCTCTCTTCTGCTCAAATATGTGCACTTATTTATATCAACTGTGACGTCCTGAGCATGCAGCAATGCCCTATACCAGGGTATATGCATAGTTTGCACTGTTTGGCTCGTTTGTCTCACACAGTGGGTTTTGTTTACTGAATCATACAGTAAATCACTATTTTCTTCTTCTTCTTTCCTCAACCTAGTGTTTCATAACTAGCCTACAATAAAGATCATTTCTTCATTCCTGAGGTTGTCACACTCTGATTGATTGCCTAGCGTGAATGAAGTTTCTATTTAGCCGTGGTTGAACCGACCCACCCACCGGCGGAAGCCGGTGGGTGGTCTGCAGCGCAATGGAATTTTCACCGCAAAGGAAGAAGTTCATATTTTTATCATTTTGAAGCCATACAAACCACCAAGCATGCCTAAATCTTGCAAAATTCGAGAAGAACGTATAAATGAAGCCGCTGAGTACGCTCGCTGCAATAAAAATCTCTCTATCGCAAAAGTCGCGCGAGATTTCGATGTTCCCTACCGTACACTCCACGGACGCGCTTCCGAGAATCGATCGCCTCGTACTGCTCGAATCCCACAAAATAAAACGCTCAATGAGTATCAGGAGGAAGCCTTGAAGCGGAGGATCATCCGTATGGATGATCTTTATCTTCCTATCACGATATCGATGGTTGAAGAGATGGCAAATCGGACCTTGCAGCGTACGGGATCGGATCAACGCGTCTCTACAACATGGGCCTATCGCTTCAACCAGAGGCTTCCTGATCATCTCAAATTGGAAAAGGTAGTTCAAAAACCGAAGGAAAAGAAGCGATTAGATGCCGAAGATGTTGGACTGCTCCAATTCTGGTATGATCAGCTCTCCAACGTGCTTAAGGGCCTTCCCGCGCGCCTCGTATACAATTTCGATGAATGCGGTTTTCAACCAGGCAAAGGAAAGCGTCAAAACGTCCTGACTAGGAAAGGCAGAGTTTGTGATCTTGCCGAATCTGAGCATTCTGAAAATATTACAGCGCTTGAATGCATCTCTGCAGACGGCTGGATCAAGAAGCCGCTTTTTATCTTTAAAGGCAAGAAGTTTATGGAAAGCTGATATCACGAGGATCTGCCTGACCTCTATACTGCAGTATCAGAAAAAGGCTATATCAACAATAAACTCGCGCTTGAATGGCTTCGCTTATCTCACAAGGAAACACTGAATCGTACAAAAAAAGGAGAAAAACGCGTGATTATCTTTGACGGTCATACTTCCCATAAAACAGTTGAATTTCTTCAACTCTGCGAGACCTACGAGATTATTCCTTTCTGTTTTTTATCTCATACAACGCAGATCTGCCAACACCTTGATGGGACCCCTTTTCTTGCATATAAACAGAAATTCAAAAAGAACAATAATGAGTTATCTCAGAGGACCGGGAAGCCCGGAGATAAAGCAACTTTTTTGAAGCATATCGTGGCCGCGCGCGCGGAAACCTTCAAGCAACGGCGTATACGAGAATCCTTTAAAGAACGCGGAATCTTCCCTCCAAATGGATCGTCAATCATTGAAGCGCTTGAAGATCCTCTACCGCCGATTCCGTTGATATCAGCGCCTGATCTTCGGCCGTATGGAGAGACTACGCGTCCTCCGAGTCCTGTCTCTTCAAGCGTTGAAAATACGCCTCTAAGAAGCTCTATACAGGTTCAGAAAAATGAGAAAAAGATCTCTCAAATCTTGACCCCGAAGGTCAAACACAACCTTGAGCGTACCCTACACCATGCGAAGATTCAATGTGAAGATCTCGCGAATACGATCACTACTCTTCAACGAATAGAGGCGCTTTTGGGCCCGCGCAAGCGAAAATCGACCAAGCGAGAAGTAAAGGGCCTTTCGGATAGCGGAATATTGAGTATTAAGGATGCAAATGGCTCTATCGCGAATAGAAGGGCGAAAGAGGCTGCCAGCAAAGAGAAGAAGTTGAAAAAGGCGTATAAAGAGAAATACGGCTGTTTACCGCCTCCAACTTGCAGTCCCTAATGCAGAATCGCCTAATGATTCTATTGATAATATTGCTTTTTACGATCCTCCACGTGGTCGATTGATATATTCAAATTAATACGAATTGCTTCATTTCTTCCTTTGCGGTGAAAATTCCATTGCGCTGCAGACCACCCACCGGCGGAAGCCGGTGGGTGGGTCGGTTCAGCCACGGCTATGGCCAAAAGCCCTGCATGACTTCCAGTTTGGCTAGGGTTTACGATAATAAGATCCTTGTCAGACTAACACACGCAGTCACTACCCAATCGCAACGACATACTTGCACCCTCCTTTAGTCGAAGGAATCCTTCATATCGAACGTTTCCAGACACTAACCCAGTCCGTACCCTTCCCCATTTCGTGTGACCGAGCTGCCTTCCAGTGATCGATTCTCCGAAAGCCAATTCCCTGGCCTAGTTCTTCGTCCTGAGAGACCATTGCGCCCCCCTCAAAGTCATACCAAACCTTCTTTCCTGGATTGCCCAAATGTGTCAAGTAGGCGGAAGAAGGCGCAGCATAGGGCGGACCACCAAAGAACAGTTTCTTAAATGTGGGAAACTCCACGCAGACGATTAAACTATCATGATGCGTTGACAGGAGATCCCATAAGCGAAGAGCCCACGCCGGGCGTAACTCAGGACTGAGTGCGCAGAAGAACTGGTGTGTTGTGATCAGTTAACCTCAAACACGAAACCGACAAAAAGAAGTATTGGCTTACAGTATAGTCGTAGATGAATTCGAATTTATCAACTCCATCAGCTTGCTGAATCCATTCATTACCGAAGAAGTCACCGAGGATGAACTTCGCCTTGCCGCGACCAACTGTCTCATCCCGTATGGGATAGTCGGCCGCATGCTCCTCAGCCCAAGCTTGTGCCTTCTCCACTGCCGTCGTGGATACTTCAAGGCCATAGGCGTCGTAGCCCAAGCTAGCCAGGAGGAGAACGTCGTAGCCGCGGCCACAGCCCGGCACGAAGGCCCGCTTACGTCGGAGCTCTCCATTCTCTGCGACCAATGGTGATGAGCCAACAAGGTCCTGACGGTCTTGCATGACATCCGTAAGGGCTGGATTGGGTCTCCCCTGGTCCCAAGGGAGGAAGTCGCCTGCGTCCCATAATGTCGACCAGCGATCGTTAGGAGGTGGACCCTCGCCACTGAAATGCTCTAGCAGACGAAGTCTGCTATCCTCGGTGAGAGGTTTACCGTTGGTCTGCGGGTCTCCCATGTTCGGAGGTAGAGAGTGATTGCCTATTTTTCAAACAAGGTATAGGTGAAAAATGGTTCAGAATCTGGTCAGGTTCGGCGGGATTGATGTCCTGTGGTTCAGATATGATGCACAGGTTGATAGGTTTAATTTATATCTGAGCACATCCAATTCCTTTACGTACACACATTTCTTACGTCATGCGTGTAGTTCAGAGCAGTGGGACATGTCGGTCGGATGATCGGATCAACTTGACCGTGTTTGCAGTATTTCATCAAATACCTTGCTTGATGTGCCTGAGCACGCAATAAAGCCAAACTATGGCGAATAACTTGATTTTGCAGGGGAAATGCATGCAAAAAGGAAAGATCCCTGATCGAAAAGGTGGTCAGGATATCAACTTTCGAGAGGCTGCGAATCCCATCTATGAAATAAGCTTCGACACTAGTCCCAGGCGGGAAAGAGTTGGTGCGAAATCCCGGGGGAAGTGGCCGAATACGGAAGGCGGTATTCAGCATGGAGTATGGCAATGGATCACTATCTACTATGGGCAGACTCTCGAATTGGCTCATTTACTAATAACCCTAATTACTGCGAATTAATCTTAACTGTATTAGATTCTTAATGTAAAAACACTAGGCCCCATAACTTGGTCAGCGGCGATATCAGCAGCATTAGAAGTGCAGGTGGCGAAATCAATAGATTCCTGTTTCACACCAATGTAAACAGACAAGAATGGAAGCACTCTAGAGAGGCGGTAGGTCATTCGTAGATTGAATTGGAGGGGGAGATCGCATGGTTTGGGAGATGAAAACCGCCAGGTGACACAATCAACCCATCAATCAACCACTGGGCTCGCACCTAACAAGATTACCATTCTGTTCACTATGGACGTGGATGACATAGCCCCCATCTCCTCCATACGATGACTACTCTTGCAGTATCTTATGGGTGGTGCTTTAACCCTCTTGCCCCCGGAAATATCAAATTCGACTCAGCAATTGGCCGATTCTGCGTCTCACAAAATACCTCACCCTCCTTGCCTTAACAAATGCAACCCTTCGAAAGCCGGGATCGTGGCAAGTTAAGGAATCTAAATGACGTTTTAAAGGTTATTCTAGCATTTAATACCCATGGTAATTATTGCGAATGCCTATAGGAGATAGAATACGAGGGGAGGTGCTTAAAAGAGCGCACAATAACGAGCGTGGTTCGACTATCCCTGGTTCTGACGCCTTTCAAATCATTCATTGGTATCATCTTTAGCTCTTTTAACAAGCGAAGCAATTATAACATACCATTATGGAGCTTGAGTCGGACTGGAAGACCTACAATGCCGATGCATTACGGGAGACAGAGTATCCGATGCTCGAAGGTGTCTATATATCTATACTCCAAGAAGAAATGAGGAAAGACTCCACGCTAACGCCTATCTTCAGGGGAGGTGTATCTAGACCATACTGGGGCCACTCTCTACGCACAGTCAGCCCTCAAAAGCTTCGTTAACGAGATGTCAGTCAACCTGCTGGGTAATCCGCACAGTGACGCAAGATCTTCTCAACTCTCTACCCAGAAGGTTGAAGAGGTCCGGAAGCGTACTTTGGAATTTTTCCACGCTGACCCTGAGCACTTCGACTTGGTCTTCGTGCTGAATGCTACGGCGGCGGTCCGGCTTGTTCTCGAGGCACTGAGGGATTTTCCCGTTTCCAAAAGCCCGACGAACATGTTCAGGGGCCCAGGGCTCTGGTTTGGATACCATATGGAGTCTCACACTAGTATCGTAGGCGGACGGGAACTGGCCGATGGCGGACAGCATTGCTTCTTGTCGGACAAGGAAGTCGATTCGTGGTTGAAGGCAGAGACTTCCAAGGAAGACGATAACAGATGCCCGGGGCAGACGTCCAAGACGTTTCAAGTTGGCCTGTTCGCCTACCCGGGACAGTCCAACATGACCGGGCGACGCCTGCCCCTTGACTGGCCCACACGGTTGCGAGAATCAGAATACGCACCGCACCAGAGGGTTCTCACACTCTTGGATGCTGCGGCACTAGCATCCATGGCGCCGCTGGACTGTCTTCGTGACCCAGAAACAGCACCCGACTTTACAGTTGTCAGCTTCTATAAGATATTTGGCTTCCCCGACCTGGGTGGCCTAATCGTGCGCAAGCAATCAGCGAACGTTCTCCTTCAACGGTCATACTTTGGTGGAGGCACTGTTGAGATGGTGATTTGCTCGGACCTTCCCTGGCATTCCAGAAAGACTACAGACATCCACGAGGCTCTTGAGGACGGCACCGTCCCATTTCACAGTATCATTGCGCTTGGCTGTGCCCTCAATACCCACGAGAAGCTTTTCATCTCCCAGGAGCATGTCTCCCGTCATACCTCCCGTCTTACAGCGCACCTTTTCGAGCTTCTTTCCTCCCTGCGTCATACAAACGGCGCCAAGATGTGCGAATTTTATCAGGATCCCAATGTACGCTACGGCGACAGCAAGACACAGGGGTCTATTATTGCCTTCAATGTTCGGTCTGAGGATGAGCGATGGCTACGTCTATCTCGTGTTGAGGAAGTTGCCAACGAGCACCGAATCCATCTTCGTACCGGCGCGGTGTGCAACCCCGGGGGCCTGGCAAAGGCATTACACCTGGAGGACTGGGAGCTCTTCCGGAATTACACGGCGGGTGTTCGATGTGGGTGTCGCAACGTTCTAGTCGGCCATAAACCATCCGGAATCATCCGCGTGAGCATGGGTGCCATGAGCACACTGGGAGATGTGGAGTACTTCGCCAAGTTTATACACAGTCTTGCTGGGGCTGCTTCGTTTCCTCCACTAGAGCCTCTGCCTTTAGCATCCCCGAATACCCTGTACCTCCATACATTGATGATCTACCCTATCCGCGGCTGCTGTGCGTATCTGATCCCAGATAAGATGCCCTGGCAGGTAACCTCGTCTGGTCTACGATGGGACCGAGAATGGTGTCTGGTAAATCTGGAGCACGGATGCATTCTGGATCAGAAACAGGCTGCACGTCTGTTATTCATCAAACCCCAGATCGATGCGAGCAGTGGGACAATGCGTATCTCTGTCCATCGCTCGCTGCAAAGCCAGCCTAGGCTCAGGGATGTTCTGCAGATCCCACTCTCCGAGGAGGACGAGAAGAAATATCCCTGGGCCATGTCCATCCGTAATGTGCAAGACACCTCGAGCAACGCCATCCACCAAGTTCGGGTCTACCACTCTCCCGATATCATCAGCTTCTTCACTGCCGCAACGGGCGTTCGCTGCACCCTGGCAAGGTTCTCGGACCCAGGAAGCCCCCCGGGCCTATTGGAACGGTCTTCGCAGACTCAATTGCCCGAAGTCATCGTCCGCTCCCAACGGAGTCCTATCATCGCCCGACCCCCAAGGCATGGAATAGAACCAGAACCAGAACCAGCCGAAGACCTGCAAGCAGAAAAGCCACGATCGCCCCCGGTAGCCCTGAGCGAAACTTTACGTGCTAATGTGCTAGCCGTTTCTGATCCGGCCTGCGGCCCTCAGAAACACTGTTTACTACGCATTGACGAGAGACAGACAGGTACTGATTGCCACTACGCACGTATGAAACCAATAGAAATTACCGCTGAAAGACAAGGCCCCGAGGTGTTTGAGGCTACCAGTCCCATGGTGAAGATGGTTTGGATGCCTAGTGTTGAGGACGATATATACTTGAGGAGCAAGGATAGTGGAATGTTGCCAATCCACACGGGTCAGATCGTTCAGATCTAAGATCCAAGACCCATCATGGACACCAGTCAGGACCAAATTTCTTTCGAGAAACGATTGCCTGTTTGATTTATGGTGTTATTGAGCCCGCTTTATTTGAATGAATGCTGTGCTATGTGACTTCTGAGGTTAAATTAAACGATTGTTGGCTGGTCTGACATGAAACTATGAATAGTTATATATATGTTTCCATGACATAGCTAGCGAATGTACGCTGAGATGATGTGGCCTCGGTAAACTAGACGCCACGCAGAGTCCGTTAGGTTGTCTTTTCTGGCACGTTGTTTCTGCCAACCATTTCTCGAGAGGATCTTTGATCTCATTTGCCTGGGCTGCCATCTTGACGAGATCGAGAGACAGCAGCAACAAACAGATGACTGCTTCGTATTGGGACGTCCTCGACGGAGGGCACGAGTAGGCTATAGTTTACGTAATCATAATGAGGACGAGGCTAGGTACCCCCCAGGATAGCCCTAACTTGGTTGGGAATGTAGGTTTGTTCCAACACCAGGAGTCAGCCCTGATTGGAAGAACAATCACAGTTGGGTATGAGTGCGCAGTATTGACAGATGTAACAGTAATTTTTACAACGGAGGCGCAGACGCTCGTGGCGCCGCAAGTTGGAATTTGAATCGCGTACCGTTGGTGGTGGGGATATATAGTAGATTCTGCTAATTGACGCAAGTTGGGGGCTTTCGCCCAGACCCGGGGGAACAGGGATAACCCTAGAAGAGATGCTGGATTTGGGGCTTAGGAACGCATACCTCGTCTCTAGGTATGCTCTGTGGATGCTGGGTTAGTGCCATGGGCGCATATAGAAAATCGGATCGGTGAACTCAAGCACCAGGTTGACACGGTACTTGGCACTACTGAGTGTTTTTGATTCCACAGGCCAATCAGCCAGCAGTTCCGATTGGCTCCGCTGTAAGCTGTCTTTTGGATTCTAATATTACAGTGTACTGGTGATGCTTGGCCACCCATGTTTCTGCTGACCTGATGTGCTCTAATATAATACCCTGGAGCGGGAGCGGGAAAGTTTCAGTAATAGAATGGCTGTGCAGGCTGTGGTCGCTGCCATGCGTATGCTCGATCTTATTATAGATGATCCGGACGCCACTCGTTTATACAATATTTGTCCATGGTTGTGGATCCTACATTACATTATGCAAGCCGTGACAGTCTTATTCCTGGAACTATCGTTTGACAGCGTCCACATGTAAGGGGAAAGGCCCGCTATTCTCGCACTATTCAAGACGTCCATACGGTTGCTTCACGCAATGTCGGAAAGGAGCATGACTTCACAGCGCGCATGGCAGCTATGTGATCGTGCCCTTCACAAGCTAGCTACCAATGCGGAGTATAACACCAAATAAATGCGCGGCGCACATTCTAATCAACGAAGCTCCAGATCCTGTACTTATTTCCTGCCTATACGGCCTTTTTCGGCTATACCGCATGACCTACTGCTTCAGATATTATGAGCATTGTTTTAAGAAATCTACCTGACATCGGCTTGGTTCTACTTATCGTCCTGATGTCCGTACGATTCTATTTATAGCGATTGCTCAATATCTCTAAGTTTAAACATAAGTGCCTTGATTAGACCTATTGGGACGCCATTTTAGAACTGAGGATGGAAAGTAGCTTCTGGCTCTGGGCTTCCGAACGAATCAAAGATGTCCTGCTGAGTCAATTGGCTCGCTAAATACATTCATGCGAATCAGAAGCCAAGCTATTGCTTTCTCTACTTCTAAGCAGCAGATATCCTGATATCATCGAAATAGTAGGGCACCAACTGCTATAATTAGCTTCAGTATCCCCGTGATCCTACGCATAGTAAAGTAGGAGAGTTGGTTGATATTAAAGGATACGAGAATTTCTTTTTATGAACTCGGCTTTCCTTTCTTTTCATATCTTAACTAGTTAACACTTTTAGCCTTTTTCAACCTCCATCCTTATCCCTGGCAAACACGACAACAGACAGAGGCAATATACATAGTGAACCACTGCATTCCAAATGTGCTGCGACCAAAATCTGTGGTTAGTTTAGCCGAGTCAGGAGTATCTGGAGAAATCAAGTCTATATTGTGGAACCCAATATATTCAATAGAGCCGGCGTTGTTTTGGAGAAAACCGTTGAATGAAGGTGCATGGATGTACAGACAGCATAGGTCCAGCTGCTGGAGATGCGGCAAGGTGCAGGACAGCAATCTCAATGGTGACCCTGATCCGCTTAAAAGTAACCTTTGAGTATAACTTAGTAAATTGCACAGATATAGTCTTAAAGTCCGCGATCCTAGTGTATCTCATGAACAAAAATATCGAAGCTCAAGGCTCGATAGATGAATGGAGTTAAAAAAGGTCTCTGGGTCGTTTCCGGTTTCCAAGCCATTATAAATGGCCTAGAAATGATGCTCAAGTGACTTTTCTTTCATGGTCATATGCGTGTCCAAGTAAAGATCCACCCAAAATTCTTCTGCAAGTGTCCGACGAAAGCATACGCAGAAGTTAGAACTCCATCAGGTTAGGTAATTGCTTTCCAAGAGCAGCCGAAAGCAGTCTCGAGTCTTCACATCTTTCCATGATTCCTTGTTGCTCCTTACATATACCCTTGAATGTATCGTAGACGATCCTATACGGGGGAAGTTTCTCAGCCGGATAACCCACGCTAGACAATTGTTTAGATCCCCGTCTATGATGTTCAATGGGGAGTATATTGTTTCTGAAAAACTCGAAATCCATTATTTCTGGGACACCTTAGCAAATCCCAGAAATGCGATCTCTTGAGTGCTCACCTTAAACACTTCCGGGACTACGTAAGTAAAAGAGGCCACGTGATGGCGTAATTCGGATGATAGAAGCCGTTGTAGCGACATAAAACTAGAATCCGTAAATTCGAAACTGGCGTTACAGAATACATGTGACATGCACCCCTCCCATTGATTAACACATGTTATGAAATGCACAGGGGAAGGAGGGCAGAATGACACTGTATCGGCTATACGCACGTAGCCTACTAAGGAGCGAATGCCTTTTGAATGATAGGGCTCTTAATTCCCTTGCATTACGATTCAATCTCTTCTTCTATGGATAGATCAAGGGTTAAGTTCCCCAGGGGTTCGAGTGTGCTGGCCAAGCCGCTAGATCACGTAATCTCATAGATTCGTATCAGTTCTCGAGGGTTAGTAGTTTTGTTAGTAGGCTAGCTTGAAGGCGCTTCTTCAAGTGTTCAACATCTTCAACATCCTATTCTCGGCAGTTGACGCGCGTCTGCCGTTTCTGGCACGGGGCGGTGGGTGTTAGATCGGGGAGAGTGGGTGGGTTGTGCTTATTGACTTGGTTAAGTGGTGTCGAGTCGACCTGTGGCGATTGCAAACTGTCGGGATGACATCCCTCTGCTTGGTGTACGCATTCTTGCGCGCAGCCGTGGCTCCGGTGTTATGACTGCCCAGTGTCGAGACGCGGTATTTAGGGATAGCTTAGAACCTGACCTGACTTAACATCTAGAACTATCTAATATGAATTACAATTGACCTTTGCTTTACACTTGTTTGCGAAAGCAATGTCACACCTAGGCAATTCTTTTGTTGATTATACCACTGAGCTAGGCCATAAACAGTCAAGATGTTCAATAATCAACCAATCATTTGCATGGCATTCAGACTGCCAAGGTGGACGCTAGCCATACGTGACTTAGACTAATCCTCAACCACCAACACAGAAGATTCGGGGTTGACGCTACTTTTGCAACCAACGGTACAAGCATACAGACTGTTCACTTGTGTACGCAGGACCAGCTGGTGATACTAACACAAACCGAATTGAACCGAATTGAGGTCCGTACCGCTTCGAAGTTCGGGGTCTAATTTTGATTATCTGAAGGCTTTTCCTCCCAAAGACAAGGATATGTTGCCTCGGTGGGTGCTGGTACATTGCAGCATATCTTTCCGGGGATGAAAATTTTGGGGGATTCCCTCTTCCCCGCGGCGGGAGAAGCAATTGTACTCCACTCCGTATGTCACGATGAGCCCATCGGCATTTAAAATGAGGGGCTGTGGACCAAAATCTGCCTTGAATAGGCTTCTCCCAGCTTCCCCCTTCTTGGTCTTCCCTAACTCACTTGTTTTACACTTCCATCACCGCATCTACCGCAGATAACCTACTATGTATTCCACTATGGCCACTCCTGAAATTCCGAAGAAGGCGAAGGCTGTCGTCTATGACAACCCCGGCACCGTATCCACCAAAATCATGGAGGTCGACGTTCCTGAGCCCGGCCCGGGCGAAGTATTGGTCAATCTGTATGCTCCCTAACGCTTCACACATGGAAAACCACGTCCATCCATCCTCCTTCACCTGCGACTGACTTCTGTAGGACGCACTCGGGTGTGTGCCACTCGGACTACTGCATCATGGCGAACAGCGTACAGCTCCCATCTACCCTGCGACCTAAATCTATATTCACTCATTAACACCAACCCAGTGGAAAATGCTCCCCTATCCCACCCAGCCCGGCCAGGTTGGTGGCCACGAGCGTGTGGGTAGAGTTGTGAAATTTGGCCCCGGCGCCGAAACCTCTGGTCTGAAGATTGGAGACAGAGTTGGCATCAAGTGGGTGGCCAGTGCCTGTGGCAACTGCCGTACGTCCACCAACCTTCTCAATAAACTGTCCATGTAACCTCACTGCCCGTAGAGCCCTGTCAGGCCGGCTCCGATGGCCTCTGCTTCTCCCAGAAAGTCTCTGGGTACTACGCCCCCGGCACATTCCAGCACTACATCCTGGGCACCGCTAACTACGTGATGCCCATCCCGGACGGACTGGCATCCGACGCGGCGGCCCCCATGCTCTGCGCGGGAGTCACCGTTTACGCGGCGCTGAAGCGCAGCAACGCCCGCCCGGGCCAATGGGTCGCCATCGCCGGCGCAGGCGGCGGCCTGGGTCACATTTCCGTGCAGCTGGCGAGCAAGGGCATGGGGCTGCGCGTGGTCGGAGTCGACCACGGCAGCAAGGCAGAGCTGATTAAGGCGTCTGGTGCGGAGCACTTCGTCGACATCACCCAGTTCCCCACAGACGACAACGGCGAGGCCATCTCCGCCCACGTCAAGTCGCTGGCCGAAGGACTGGGTGTCCACGCCGCCGTGGTATGCACCGCCTCCAATGCCGCCTACGCCCAGGCCCTCCAGTTTCTGCGTTTCAACGGCACCCTCGTGTGCGTCGGTTTCCCCGAGAATGACCCCCAGCCAATCGCCAGTGCCATCCCTGCCGCCATGATCGGGAACCACTACACCATCACCGGGTCGGCTGTCGGCAACCGGCGCGAAGCCATCGAGACTCTCGACTTTGCCGCCCGTGGCATTATCAAGACCCATTTCCGCACAGAGAAAATGGACAGTTTGACTGGGGTGTTCAAGGAAATCGAGCAGGGCACTTTGCAAGGAAGAGTAGTTCTTGATCTGTCTGGTTAGTATAACTATGATTCAGGCTTGTTGAACGGATAGTGCCCTGCGATGGATTACCAATTTGTTCGCTCTGTATTTAAGAGAGATAGCGTAAGCGAATGCCCGATTAACCGGCGAGGGAACGTTATCCGCGTAGTTGGGTTGATTGTCATGCACTTGACCGACTTGTTGGGCAGTGGAAGATAAGTCAGATCTCAATATATAACTCTATGACATGGATGAAATTGATCACCTGTCATCTATCCGGAGGCTAGAGTGCAATACCCAGCAGGTTACTCCGGCGTGAAGATGGTCGCTGTATGTATAAGTCTTGCTTCTGTCTACAGGAGAATGAGCTTGGGTGGGCCAATTCCTGCTCTTGAGGTATAATTTAAATGAAATGCAACGTAAATAAAGGTAATGGGACAAAAACAGAAGTTCCCAGGCAGACACGTTATCTCCATTCCTTCCAGAACTAGGAAGGCCCTATGGACTCTATGCGTAATTTTTATTCGGACACGTCGAGTTCTAGGACGAACCCCAAGTTGAACCCCTGGTCAGCATCCTAGAAGGATTAGTGGCGCTGCATATTGTGCCAAGACGAGAAATCAGATTCGGTTGAAGACACGATTGACGCTGTCTTCCTGCTTGGCCCGGGCAGTTCTTACTTGCTGCTGGTGGTTCCCCGGCGCGAAGGCCGGTCGACGCGGAAGGAATAGGGCGGATTCACTGGAAGCGAGACGTTCGCGAATGGTGAGTGTTGGAACAATATTGTCAACCAGGCCAGAGAGGTGGAGTATCCTGACCTAATCCACATACCGCAAAGCACCTTGCTTGGCCTAGACTTGGCCTACCATTCCAAATGGCATACCAAGGGATCAGGAATGCATAGGTGTAAACAAGTGGAACTATAAATAGCTAGGCAGATTGTAGTTTAGAAATGACACTTCACTTTTACCCACCGAGCATATACCTACATTCAGCTGAATCGATAGGATATCTGCTTAGGGCAATGACCAAGTCAACCGACAGTGAGGATGGTGGGCATTTTTACAACGGTCTGGCACCTTGCCGGTGAATATGAAAGCCAGTTGCCCGGTGGTGGTCGCCGCCAGAGCTGCAAGGAAAGACTGGACAAGAGCAGACAGAGAAAAGTATACTATTACCCCAAGTCCATTACAGTACTATGACCGGTTCATCTCGTCATCGAAATATGACCACGAAAAGGAACGAGTAAGATGTACCTGTCCTAAACCAGAGCAATTTGTCGCCGCCGGGGGGTGAGACAGATATATCCTCAATAGACCCCGGCGACTGCCTCCAGCTCACTATAGGCGGGGAGAGAATCAGCCCTACATGCTAATATAACACAGTTATCTCAGTCTGCCACCATGTTCTCTTACCGAACTCTTGTTCCCCATGATTTGAATGGCACCTGGTCAGTGCGGACACCGTCCCTCTCACTGTCGCCTTTTTCCATCACGCTTAGTGTTATAACACTATATATCTCTAGTCTCCATCTACAGGAGAAGAAGCTGGGGCAAGCTGATTCCTCTTTCTGGGGTGATGATAATGCATTACTGCATCCATTAAGGTAATGGGACGAGCATAAATGGCTATATGGGCATATTTAGCACCATCCCCTTGAGTCTATATTCATAATTTTTGCTCTGACGCGTCGGGATTCTTGTTTAAGCCCGAAGTTGAAAATCCTGGTTAACTTCCTCGAAAGGGTTAATAGTCCTGCTTCCCAGCTGCCAGGTTGAAGCCGCGGCCGGCAGGCGTCTTTCCTCCTGCTTTGCCCGGACTGTTTCTACAGTTACCTACCTACAAGATATATCACCTGCAGAATAACGGACATTATAGCATGAGCTAATTGCTGGTCTGGGATTGGGACAGAAAGATGCAACAGTCTGTTGCTGGCGGCTCTCCGCTGTGGAGGTCGGTCAATGTGGAAACCAGAATGGAGCGAATTGACCGAAAACAAGGAGCCGGTGCGAATGGTGAGGGTGATGGGTATGTTTACGGTCTGGCGGAGCCGTTGAAATGAAGGCCAGTTACTCGTCGGTCCATACGACCAGAGCTGCAAGGGAAACCCGGGGAAGAGCAGACCAGAAAAAAAGTAGGCCAGCTCCACAAGGCAAATACAATGACTGGGTTATCTCGTCGCAACACCGGTCACGACATGGGAGGACGAAGACGCCGTGGTTTCTGTTCGACCAAGTTCACGAGGGTTGGGGATGGAAGAAAATAGTTGGGCATTTTCGGTGATTCGGGTGGGTCCGCTCTTCTCAAGGCTAGGCATTTCTTCCTTCACCAGGAGTATTTATACTGCTAGTAAAGAGCGCCCAACCGAACAAAATACCTAGTAGTCGAAGGAAAGAATTAGAATATAGTGTGAATAGTAAACCATTTCATATGAAAACGAGCCCGACCACCGTCAACCATCACAATGTCTCGGATTTATATGAAGATGTACAATGAGCGGAGGATATACGGAGTGACGGACCCGCATAGCTTATCTGGGCTCCTACTGAACGCGAAAGCTTCTTTCTCTCGCTTCCTTGCGCTACGTCTTATATCTAGAGTCAACTATAGCTCTTCTGATTATTGATATTTTATCTCAACACGTTTGTCTATCTCTACCTATACTTGTGAATCTCACACAACCATGAATTGCCCGGGCAAGATGGGGGGGGTTGACAAAGGGAACTGCCCGAATACTCGTTGTGTTAGCCGGGTTATGTCACAGCGGCCTTTCTGACTAGCAGACACGGTTGTCTACGCGCAATACAATAACCTACAGGTCTGTTGCCTGTAGACTTTCGTTGGGTACACGGAGTCAGTCAAGCACCCGAAATGTGATGAAATGGTTACCGATGCCTTTTCAAAGAGGTTATAGATGATCGCATAATGTACAGTTAAGAAAGCGGGTCGTCGGAATTAAATGATGCCCGGGTAACAAACGTGGTAATAGTCAGGTCAGCGCTACGCAAATAACCACGAAAGGTGGCAGTCTTCTTTTGAGAAAAGGGTCCATCCGATAAAACGGGGAATATATATAAAGGAGGTAAAAGCGTCACACACATAAAGGCTAGTCCGTCAATTGTCTATCGCTCGATCGACGGGCTAGGTATTAGAGGAGAGCGATAGCCACATTGATACGGGCAGATAGAAGAATGATGAATGTCCATTCTGAATCTGAGGAAACTTGCTGGGCTTTTGGTAGTGCATATACTGCAAAGTCTGATGACTTTTCAATCGTGGCTTTGCTGACGGTGGTTACAACGGGCTTGTAAAGCGCCATCTCATTATCTTTGAGTATATATTTCGGATTGTGGAAGCTCAAATAGTCCAAAAGAATGCGAACGGCAAGTGAGGGCAGGACTGGAACTTGTGTACTCTACGCCTCGAAAGGTCAAAGGTAATCCATTCTTGAGGGCACCTTTGTGCTCAGACTGAATTTCATTCTAGGGCTAGGCCTATGCATACTTTGACATGCTCATATCATGGTGCTGTGGTGTCCTGAAAACAGAAGTACTTATGTAAATTTACGTGAAGACACCCTGTATTGGAGCGCATATCACTTGGCAGCGACTGAAGACCCCGCTCACATAGTCCCAATATAATATAATGAAACAATGATTATGTATCCGTCATTCGGCTCAGACGCTCTGTAGAACTAGGCCCCTGCACGTTCAGTGGTCCAAACTTACAAGGCTGTCTCTGTCACCGAACCTTACAGATAATATCGAAGCCGGAGAGCTGAGCTGAGATGTAGAGCTGGGGAATACTTCAAACCCGCCACAAACTTAAGTTACACATACCACATCATATACCGAAAAGCATATTCGGATGGTCATAAGCCATCTTTATATATTGTTGGTAAGCGCAGTACCTAAACTTCATGATTAGCTGTCGGTATTTTACCTCCTCTGGTTAGAATTTCTGAGTGAACGACTAAGGACTCACTTAATGAACTACAGCACATGGTAAGACCATCAATAGGTAGAGTGCTATACGACACGCAATGTCGCCTTTGCTTGACTAAGTTCTTGCATGGACATTGAACGTAATCTCGATGCAGCCCTGCCTGGCAACACATATAAATGGCTGACCCTCATCACTTGCTCAATCGTCTCCACCCTCGAATTTTGCTTTATTTGTTACATTGCCAATATCTATAAGATGTCAGATCTCTTTACGCGCGTTTGCCTCTATCCCAGTGAAATCGAAAAAGTTCATGCGGCTTGCAGGCACCCTTCATGGGGATGAGGAAGTGGACGAATTTACCTTGCGAAAGTACAACCTCATGAGATCCGCTTAAGTCCTGGGAGAATCCGATAATACCCGCCATCGAAGAGCTTTGGAAGAGTGTTCAAAGTACGAAGGTACATTGTACGAGAAGGACCCTGAGGAGACAGATGAAGTGTATCTCTGTCGAATTGATCGTTTATATACCTGGCTGATACACAGCACTGATGCAGAAGCAAAATGGATATAGAGAGCCCAGGTGGTAATTATGGTGATGTAGCCTCTCCATGAGCACGGAGGATGCGACTTCGTGGGCATCTCAAATGGAGGTAGTTGGCTGTTTATACCATGACTTTTATGAGTATTCGTGGATTTGTCTCGGGGAAGGGCAAGGCGTCAGTACTTGGGATTAAGATGGAATCTCGCCGCTGTTACCGCCAAAGGGATTATCGATCCACGCAGAATGGTGCTACAAGGCAGCCGAAAGAGACCAAGAAAGGATCCTTGGACAGTTGCATGAAGACAAAGAGCTTGAAGTCATCTCTGGTTGGTCGACTTTACAAAGCCTCCCGGTGCCTGCAGCATGATTGCAGCTACTAAATCCAAGGTCTTGCCCCATACCTAGCTCTATGGACTGTTATCCTACCAGACAATCCTATTAAGATGGCAATGTATTGTGGGCTGTCCTACCTCTTTAATGATAATACCACCTAGGCTGCGTCCCATGAAGATAATAGGAATCTAGGAATCGAATGAGCGAGGTTGGATAATATGGCATGTGGGTCCTTACATACTGTGAATGCTCACTGTTGGATTCTTTTAGCAAGCTTTGTTCAACCCGGGGCGTCCAGCAGCCACTGGTACAATTGTGCAGGAATTGCGGAATTGTATACAAAAGTCAAGACTTGGCCTCGGGGAAGACGTTTTGTATTAAGTCTCGAGATGCTTGTTTCTAGCCACAAAGTTCACTAATAATTATAGGCTTGTAAAGAGATATATACTCCTAAGTCGGTTTAACTTAGGATTGGGTCGGTTTTATTCAGGAAAATATAACTCTTAAAAAAATAGAAGTAAAATGGTGGGAGATTCGATACATCTAATCTAGGATAATTCTTGGGGGGAGTTGATAAAACACAATGCCCATCAACCCTTAGGCTAGTGGCATTAACAGAGTCGGCGAGGGAGAGCTCCCATATAATGCGGGTGCCAAGCCCGCCGACTCCGGGCGACTGGGTGTACGGGGCTGCGGTCCCATACCTCAAAGGCAAAACCGTCTTTCCCGCAGTTGAAGTCAGGTATACCTCGTGTTGGGAACAATGCCATGGAGAGATAATGGCAAGGATAAGACTTGGGAGTGATAGATAATTCATAGGAAGAACAAGAAGAATAAAAAAAGCCACATATGAGCCCTACTGTGGACCACAGGTTTATTGTCAATTCAACTTGCAGGGCTCACTTAAGATCCGGGATTTGAAAGTCTGCCTCGTTGACCTTTGATAACACCATCCACCTTTATATCCAAGGCATACATATAGGTACATTTCCTCAAGACAAGAAGGGCTTCATCAGCTCTAGAGACCTCTCCCACAGAAGACCCTCCTTTTCTTCATCATATGCATGAGCTGCGTATCCAGGTTCATGCGGTTCCGGGATAGTGTTGGCTGGCTTTGAAACTTGGCAATCTTCAAGATATGTACCGCCTTGAGCTTCCAACGCCCTTGCAGTGGCCGCCCAAACCGAAGTGGCCGCTCCCTCTTCCGGATTCTTCGTTATTTTTGCCACTGTGGGATCATTGCCCCAACCCTCAACTGTCTCCTTTTCTAAATACTGCATAAGACCGGTATGGATCAGTCCGGGGTGAACAGACCATGCATGCAGACCCTTGCTTCCGTAGCGACGGTCGAGTTCGTTGGCGGTATATATATTGGCGGTCTTGCTCTGGGCATATGCTACCCATGGATGATACTCCGCCTCAAGGTTGAGGTTGGAAAGATTAATTCCTCCCATTCGATGGGCAGAGGAGGAAAGTATAACAACCCGTGACTGAAAATTTGGAGAACTCGATTCGAGCAGCGCGGGAAGGAGGAGTTGGATCAACAAGAAGTGCGCAAGGTGGTTGGTGCCAAACTGGGTTTCGAAACCATCTATAGTACGACCTTCTGGAGTCGCCATGACGCCTGCGTTGGCAATCAGGACGTTGAGGTGGTTAGACATAGACAAGAAAGTGCCTGCACACTTGCGCACACTGGCCAAAGAGTCAAGGTCGAGCTCCAAGAGGTGGGCTCGGTCGTTCTCCAGGATGCTGCCGAGTGCTGTCTTGGCTTTATTAAGATCTCGTGCAGTGAGGTAAAGCGTAGCACCGGTTTCAAGCAGAGCCCTGGCGGTCTCAATTCCAATTCCCGAGGAGCAGCCCGTGATCAGAATCGTCTTCTCGAGCCATTTCCCTTGAAGCTGCTCGTCCTCAATGATCTGACAGGCGGTAGGACGTCCATCACCTGGTCCATTGGGTGTCTGATGAGCAGATTCGTATCGTGCAGCCATTTTAATGGTTGTAGTTGAGAGGTCTGGAATGTCTGGGATGAAGATTGAGGGAATTGAAGATCGTTGTCGCTGAATGATGATGTGATCATGTGACAGATAGATGAGAGGATATCATTCCATTTATATGCGAAGCATCAACTCTCAAAAACCAGGTATGTTGTTTGGTAGCAACCACCCAACCGGACTTAACTCTAAATTCCGTTCGGTTTAAAATTTTGCGACGTGATCAAAGACTACCTCGTGTTGACTTACTCTGGTTGACCTCAGACGTCCCTAGTACGGCCCACCAGGCATTGGCCACACCCCGCTTGAAGTTGCCGTGCCTGCCCGATAAGGTCTTTCATGAAGCGTATTATCCTAGCAGACGCTTAACGTATGTGGATAACCAAGGTCAACCCTGAGTAGATAAAAGGTACCCTTGGAACCGGGCTGGGGCCAATTTCATCCCGATCCGCAGACCCACCGCCGAGCTAATCCATAAAAGGCAATTGGATTCGCCAAGCCAATATTGGCGCATGGGCGATGCTTGGTTGTACACTATTTACATGGTATGTCTCGCGCACTGGCCCCATTGTGCATGCTCCGAGTCTTTGCAGACTTGGCGAAATTACACTCCCCAAGAGGCAACTTCTGCTTGAACCCTGTATCCGCTCAACCTTTTGCCATCGCACGTCAAAGCTATTTCTTACTTTAATTAGGTCACCCAATATGGATCTGTTGATACTGAAAAAGTCGTTTTACCAATTCTATTTATAATTCCTCTTCTGCTCATAATGACAACCAACACCACGAAGTTTATACCGCCGATGGATGGGAAGCAAATGGGCCTACGCCACTGATAGACAAAGACAACATCAAACATAAATACGTAGATGGCAAATCCATAATAGCATGCATAAAACGCCACAAAAGGAATACCCAACATGACAGAGTGTCCACTGCCTCCTCCTGTCCCAGTAGCTCCACTACTCATCCCCACTTTCGAGAAACGTCTTTGTGACAGTGCTCCCCATAGATGGACTAACTTAATCATAGTTTTGCTTGGTAAGCGGTGGCAAACACCATATCAAGGCGGTCCTCCCGAAGAGCCTTCAGAGTTTAGGTTCCTAACTTTATTCCGGCCGTAGCCTGACAAATCAGTCGTTGATCTGTTCTTCAAAAGGCAGTTATATTCGCCAAGACGGTCCACCCCTGCACTCTCTTCACTCTTAGCAAGAGGAGCTACTGTCCCCAGAGCTCTGCCATTTACTGGGTTTAGTACGTTGTCCTTTGACCTCTGCACCTGAGATCTAACTCTGCTGGGACGGTTAGCATCGCTTTTCTTGATTTAATCTTTGCTTGGATTTTTTCTATATTCATTTGTTTATTGTGTTACCATTACAGGCATAGAGTGGATCATGAGAGGGAAACGGAGGAACGTGTGTCAGATTTGCAGGTCTCGCAAGCTTGCTGTGAGTTTCTGCCGCGCGAATCTTTCAAGAGTACAGATTGACTTGCTGACAGCGTCTGAAGTGCGATGGGAAACAGCCTGAGTGCTCTCAATGCAGGCTTCGACGAATCCCCTGTAGTGGTTACCAGCAAGAATTTGTTTTCGTGCCTCAAGCCCTTCTTTCAAAGAATCAGGCCAAGCTCAACGATGAGAGCAAAATAGTCCTGGGACACCAAAATGAGGCACTTGATAACTTTAATAAAGACCATATTCTGCGTATCAGAAGCTCTGAATTAACCTCACTTGGCAGAATTGCTACTCAATTGGAAACAAGAGGTTACTACGAACTTCAAGACGATATTCAATTTATCGTGCAACATTATGCCCCTGTTAATTGCAGCGCTCCTGCAGAGTCTAATTTGTTTCACAATCAGATCTGCGGGGCATGGGTTGAAGTACTTCCACTTCTTTCCGCGACCAGAAGCCACATGCCGTTCCTCTTATGTGCAATCAAGACTTTGGCTACTGCTTTACGGCACCATGACCATGGAAACGAGTTGTATCAGGCTACGATACTTAAGATGTATTGTGATTCGCTTGAACTCGTCGGTAAAGCGCTCAAGGGAGCTCAAGGTGCCTTTGACACTGAGCACAGCATCGCGATAATGTGCCTGGCAGTGACGGATGTAAGTGCTAGGCACGGGGAATTTATTATCTCACTCAAACTGACAATGATCCATGAAGATTATAATCCCAAAGCTGGAATCCGGTTGGATGACGCACGTGAAGGGCCTTGGGGATATAGCAGAACATCTCGGACCGGAACCTTTCAGTAGTGGCATTTGGCATACACTTTTCATTGGATTCAGGCCTCTGCTAGTAAGTGATGAGTGCTTGAGTCCACAATCGTTGCCTTACTGATCAATGGTGGGACATTACCTAGTTGATCAGCTCGATCCTAAACCGACGAAAAACGTTCCTCGCGCGAGAGGAATGGAACACTACGCCGTTTCGCGGACAGACCGTCTCCATGATGCAGCTACTTCTTAACAAAGCTAGCGAGCTTCCCATCCTTCTAGAAAGATACTATGAAATTGGCGAGCTTGCCGACGCGTCTAAGAATGTTGTTATCGAACAGCTCTGCAAAGACTTCCGAAACTTTGTCAAGAGACTTCGGGACTGGGAACTCAGCGTACGCTCCAGAGCGCCGTCTCCTTTGTTTTGGTTGAGGCCCAATCCCAAGAACATATCTCCCTCATATGGGAATGTTCTCTGGTTCCCAAGCATCATGGTGGCGTCCAGCCTGACCCATTACTGGGCATTTGAGATTATCGCAAGACAGCATCTCAATATCCTCAGCAGAGCAATTACTGCTAATACGGGCTGTATTGATCAAGGATGTGTGAAGACTCTTACTGGGTCTACTGGTGAAAAGCCAGTAGAGGCTCTAGCAGAGATGATCTGCGACAGCATGCCATATCTAATGCAGCCAGAAATGAGATTATGCGGTCCTGGCTCTGCCTTCTTTACCCTTACAACGGCTATTCAAGTGTTTCGAAGTAAGGAGGATCAGGACAGCTTTCAACTTTTTCGCTGCCAGCAGATCGTCGATCGCTTAGCAAATATTGGGATTCACTTCCCAGTTATATAGGAACAAGCATCTGCAATAGCATTAGATTATGTCTGAACAGATTCTATGACAGCACCAGGTTCCCTTTACTAGTCGACTGCAGGGTCTGACTGAGCTGGGAAGTCTTTCCGGATTACTCACTTGAGCCTAATAATGCAATACAATTGTAACTGAGCGCGGGTAATCTTTCTGGAGAAATCCTTGTAGCCGATTCTTTCACCAGTACTTGGGATCCATCGCGCGATCGCACGTAATACTTGCGAGAAACTGATTTACACCATTGCATCATCAGACAGATTACTCGTACAAAGTATCTTCAAGGGAGATGCTTACAGCAGAAAGGGTAGTTAGGTCATCTACAAGCCACAAGTAGCCGACACTAAGGTTAAACGGCATAGCTTAAGCAGCAAAATAGTTGACGCCAAAAAAATCACCAAGTAGTATCGACTATCGAGTTGCACCGATATCTCGTAGCTGCTTTCGGGTTGAAGTGTCATGTGACCGGTTCCAAGTAGTTTCACTTATCCCATAGCTTAGCAATCAAGTTTCCTCCACATTTCATTACTCTGAAGAATTCCTGGCAACGTCACGGGTCATCCATCCTTGCGGCGGCCAACTAAGGATACCTTAGTGGCGTCATGGCCCGTAAGTGTCTAGTGATAGGGCCATGAGCGAATAATTGCAGAATCGAGCTAGGACAAAGCTAGTAGAAACAACCCCATCAGGGTGATCCCGTTGCTAACTCGAGGACGCTACCAAACTACCGCCAGTGGTAGTCTGGTCTACTAGTTCTTGGTGATCGGCTTTTGCCATGCCGCTTATAAAGCACAGTCTACAGCATCTATTGGCACTCGGTGATAAGGCTTCCCAGGGACAGTCTGGGCATACCACTCTCCCAAGACCCAAGACGGCGTGGGAAGACTGGACGGGATGAATGTGGAAATGCATCGTTGGATCTCGAGAAGCTTCTCTCTTGCATGACTGCGCTCTCGAATTCTCCAGAGATTCTCTGGATCTGCCCCGCTTCTGCCTTGAGTGGGCTGTTGGTTATAAATCATGAGCACTGATCTTGCGTATTGCCTAGGTATTTAAATCTGTACAGCTTCCCCCCTTCTTGGTCCGGCTTTCGTCTCTAGTTATCTCCTCGTCCCTCTACTCTATTCAATTCTTCCGTGCCTACCGTCTGCCCATACAATCCACACACCATGTCCAACAAAGCTCTTGTCTTCAAAAAGGTCCCCCAGGGATATCCTGTGCCCGGAGAGCACATCGTGATTGAGCCGGCCTCATATGACGCCAGCACTCCTGCTCCGGAGGGTGGTGTCGTCCTGCACTCTCTTTACGCTAGCTTTGACCCGTACATGCGCTTCCGTATGCGCCCCGAGGAGGTCAAATCCCACGCCCCGGCGTTCTCCTTGAACCAGCCCATCGACAGCGCGTCCATCGCCAAGGTCATCCGCTCTAAAAACACCAACTACAAGGAGGGCGACATCGTTACCGGCCACATGCCCATCCAGGAGTACGTCGCGCTGGGTGCCGAGCAGACCGCAAACATTAAGCCCCTCGATAACCCCCTCGGCATTGAGGACGTCCGTGTTTTCCTCGGCGCTCTGGGTATGCCCGGTCTTACCGCCTATTCTTCTCTCTACGAGATCGGAAAGCCAAAGAAGGGCGAGACTATATTTGTCTCGGCAGCTAGCGGAGCCGTTGGCCAGCTGGTCGGCCAGCTAGCACGAGGGTCTCAAGGTCATCGGCAGTGTCGGTTCGGACGAGAAGCTAGAGTACATTACCAAGGACCTAGGCTTCGATGGTGGATTTAACTATAAGAAGGAGGCCCCGAAGAATGCACTCGCCCGCCTCGCCCCCCAGGGCATTGACATCTACTACGAGAATGTCGGCGGTGTGCACTTGGAGGCCGCTCTGGACGCCCTAAATAACTTCGGCCGGGTCGTCGTCTGTGGTCTGATCTCACAGTACAACTCGGAGCCATATCCGATTAAGAACATCCTCAATGTGTTCACCAAGCGCCTGGATATTCGTGGCTTCTTCTCCGGCGACCAGGGTATGGGTGACAAGTACGCCGTGGAGCACCAGAAGAATATGCAGAAGTGGATCAAGGAGGGCTCGTTCAAGACTCTCACTCACGAGACGGCTGGTATCGACAATGCCGCGGACGGCTTGGCGGGTATCTTCCATGGAAAGAACATGGGCAAGGCTGTGCTGAAGTTCTAAGGGTGACGAGATAGGAGGATATGATATTCGTCCATAAAGAGCGCTGGGGCGCAAGGACCCTTCGGCGGCTGTCTGGTCGCGTTCCGAGGGGGCCTGCAATGGATTGACGAACACGAAACATAGGACACTATCATTGTAATTCGTATATTCCTCCGGATGTTCAGAATAACATGGCAATTCCCGTCAAAAGTCCAGTAAAGTTCCATGTAACTAGTGCCATGCACGTTAATTAAGGAACCGTCGGGAACTGGGGTGTAGTCGAAAATGTGGCTCAACCAGTGGAAATCATTAAGAGGTCTAAATTGCTGTAAAGCCCCGACCTGGCAATTGTGTATGGAAGATGACTAATACAAAACAATTGACACATTGAGTCGTCCATCTTCAACCTATGGATTCCGAATTCCCGGGCGTCGGACACTTGCGGCGGCGGAGGGAAACGGGCCAATGTGAGGAACGCATTCCCGATCTGACCTACCTAGGTTCCGGTTGGAGCATTTCGACCTCACGTTCCACGCCGCTCTGAAGAAGCAGATTCTCCTCCCCGACCCCCGATCCAACTCCCTAGTGAGTGATCCCCATGTTGATGGTCGGCGTGTTATCAGTGGTAGTTGCGGCAGCCAATGCAATGTGGCGGATGATATTGCAGAGGGATGGCCAACGGATTTTGGAACAGACGGGGGGGGAGGCCCCATTGCGGTGGATGCGTGTCGTACGCCGGAGGCGGGTCGGAGAGCTTGACGTATGTGAGCGGGCTGTCTCTGGGGTGGGACGTAGTGGGTGGGGGGAATTGCACTTGAGGAGTAGGTACTCCGTAATTGGAACGTGAGAAGGTCGAGGAAGCGTGGGGTGTGGCGCGGACTCGATTCGTATATTGGGCGGTGGCAGGCGGCTAAGTCATGATAATGTTCCCATCGCCGTTTAAGGTGGTTGTTGAAAACTAGAGATGCCTATTAAGCCACAAAAAGATGTTATAACACCTAGTTATGCTCAAAGTGCAATATCTAGGGCTTTCTCACGTTGACAGTGGTTTATTTATGTTGTTGTTCCGAGGAAGATTCGTTATTCTCATTCTCATCTGGAAGCTTGAGGGTTCATATACAAGATGAATATCAGATTGATTGGAAACCAATCTGATTGTATCCGGAATAAATTCCGTATACGAAGCTCTATTGTTTACTTGGTCGAGCCTCGATTCACAACATTCTCCCTCAGGATCGCCGTGCTGGCACGGTCATACTGCACTGGCGAGAATCGACTAGGCCTCAGTAAAACCACTAAAACCCTGCTCGGGAGAAAGGGTGGAAAGAGCGCCCCTGTACGATTACGCCTTCTGTTTTGGGTCTTCAGCAATACTCGTCAAACCGAGTAACTGACGGAAGTCTGCGAACTCCTTAGGCCCCAAAGGTTTGGTAAGACCATCTGCAGCCTGCTGCTTAGTCGGAACATATTGGATGCTAGTTTCTCCAGCGTCCAACACTGATCGCTAATAGTGGAACTTGGCATTGAAATGTTTGGCCCGTTTATGGAACTCTGGGTTCCGCGACAAGGCAATAGCAGACTGATTGTCGGCCATAATGTGTGTGACCGGTAACCAATAAAGATTGGTTTCATCCAGGAAGGTACGCAGCCGCTGCAGATGTAGAATAGCGTTATACTGGCCGATATACTCTGCATGAGTGGTGGACGTGGCGATTTCCCCCTGTTTCTTGGACGACCAGGAGATAGGTCCTCCCGCGAGCTTGAAGATATATCCGGATGTAGAGTATGCCCCGTCGGTCACGACCGATCCACCAAAATCGGCATCCGTATAGCCGATCAGATCACCCTTTCGATATGAGATGCAGACATCCTGCGATGCTTCCAGGTAGCGGAGCAGTCGCTGCAGCGCGGCTTGGTGATGCGATTGCGGTCGAGACACGAATCGACTCAGTGTCGCAACCGCGAACGCGATATCTGGTCGGGTTCCGATCATCAGATACATCAATGCACCGATGGCCGAACTGTAGCGGGCTCCGGCGGTGTCGTCAAGACTGCGCTCGTCTGGTCTCAGGTCCAGAGAGCTTTTGGGAATCATTGGAGTATCCTTAGGCTGGCAAGTCTCCATGCAGAAATCAGATAGGATCTTTTGAATATACTGTCGCTGATGTAGAGATACAGATCCATCATCGTGAATGACGAATTGGATTCCAAGAAAAGAGCGTAGAGTTCCTAGATCGTTCAGTTTGAACTTCGATTCGAGAGCGTTCCTAACAAGGTAGATTTCTCGATCATTGGCTCCGGCCACCAGGAAATCATCAACATAGACACAGACCACACAGTTCTCCTTGTAAAAGACGCAGTTGTCTGATTGTGCCATGAAGAAACCATGCGCCTTTAGGACTCGCCGTACACACCGGTACCAGATCCGTGGCGCTTGTTTTAAGCCGTAGAGGGATTGTCGCAGACGGCAGACGTACCCTTCTTCCTGGAAGCCTTCTGGCAACTCCATATAGATATCGGTGTCGATGTCTCCGTGGAGAAATGCTATTACCGCGTCGAACTGATGAAGTTCCCAGCCTTTCAGGATAGCGCTAGCTACAATACAGCGGACAGAATCCATTCGAGAGACCGCTGCGAACGTCTCATGATAATTAACTCCAGTTCTCTGGCGAAAGCCTTTGATAACCAGGCGGGATTTTCGAACTCCGTTCGCCTTGGTCTTGAACACCCATTTGCACTCGATAACGCGGTGTCCAGGTGGAACGTCTTTTCGCATAATTTTATCCCATGTACCATTTTCAAGAAGGGAGCTGTATTCCTTCTGGATCGACGCCCACCAGTCCACACGATGTGGGCCAGACACGGCCTCTTGAAAGGTCTGTGGGTCACGGTCTGAGGACGACAACGGTAATGTAAAGTAGACTTTGCCTATCGCTTCGAGGAGTCGTCGAGACGGCTGCCGTCGTCGCCCGAAGAGCGAGTATCCTAGGTCCGGTATATCTTGCACTTCGGACGCTACGGGATTGGTCGTTTCAGAAGAAGCAGTGTCGTGTGTACTACCGCCCACTTCTGGCTCATCTGCTTCTGGTGGAGGTTGAGGAGGCAGCGCGATTGACGGTATCGCTATCGATATCGGTTTCGGCGGACTTAGGTCCACAGCAGCGACCGGAATGTTTGGAAGGTCTAGTGACGGAGGGTCGTTGCCCGGGAGGCCGTTGCCAACTTCCCCCTGGATGAGTGGTGCCACGGGGGTCCTCTCATCGAACTCGACGTCACGGGAAAAGATGATCCCGTCCGGAATGGACCTCGTACAGCTTATATTGATTCGGTTCGCTGTACCCGAGCAGCCGGCACTCGGAGGAACGGGGCCCTAGTTTGGGCCGCTGTTCTTTGGGGATCAAGACCCAAGTATGCGAGCCGATGCGGCGGAGATGGGACAAGCTTGGTAGCTTTCCGTATAGAACCTCATATGGGGTCTTCTTCTGCAGGAACGATGCCGGCGCTCGCAATTTGAGGTAAACGACAGTGTCAAGGATCTCGGTCCAAAAGGATAGAGGAAGTTTCGTATCATACAGGAGCGTGTTAACCCGCTCCCGGATCGTGCGGTTCGTACGTTCCGCTAGGCCATTCTGACCTTTGCAGTACGGAGCGGATGTGTCAAACTCCATGCCTTGTAACTCGAGATAGGTGCCGATGGCCAGATATTCTCTTCCGTTATCGCAGAGAAATCGCTTGATGCGGGTCCCGAATTGTCGGCGTACCCATGCTTCAAAAAACTGGAATTTCTGTAGTGCTTCGGACTTCCATTTCATTGCATAGCTCCACGAGCCGCGTGAATAATTATCAGTAAAGGTGACCACGTACCTGGAGCCATCCTTGCCAACAGGCATTTCCATTAGATCAGAGTGCACCAACTCAAAGATCTCAGAGGATCGAATGGAGGGATTTCTACGCCGGGAGTGCCTCTTCTGATGCTGCTTCCCCGCCATGCACGCCGGACACCGCGGCGTTGCCTGCAGTTCCTGGCAGGTCAGAGGACGGTACGGAGTGCCGGACTGTCGGAGGACCAGCCGCAAGTCTCCCCGATTCAAATGACCCATTCGAGCGTGCCATAGCTCTTCGGATGTTTCCTGGTCCACTCCTATGCTCGCATCTTCTTTGAGGTTCACTAATGCGTTACCACTGTGGAGTTCAGAGGTGGTCACCACACTTTGGGCGCCACTTAACTCCAGAGGATCCCCATCAGCCATGACAAAATCTGAAGGTTCTCGAGATGTGACGCTGACTGTGGCATTCCTGGCCAAATGTACTTGGACTCGAGGCTTGCAGCTCGCTTGACAGTGGAGGACGAACAAGTCATCCCCGGTATGCTGGATGCTCCCCACGGGCCGTCCTCTGCGTTGCAGGGCGATGCCTCGCGGGTGCGCCACCACCGAATAGTGGTCCCTTAAGAGTTTGGGTACACTGATCAGGTTGATCCCGACCCGCGGAGCGTAGTACACATTCTTCAGGACTACCGTTCGGTGAGGCTTCCCCCTAATTCTGAGCTTAACAGTGCCTATCCCTTCGGCTTCCACCGGATCTCCCGCCGTCATGAGCATCTCACGGTGCTGCCGGAGACTGGTAAAACACTCCCGGTCCCAGCAGACGTGGCTAGTGGCAGCGGAGTCCACGATCCACCGTGGGTCTGGCGCGTGGGTATAGAAGGTCGTCACCTTCGCCCTCACGATATTCACTCTCGGTCTCTTGAAAGCCGGCGGGCCCGGCCGGTCTTCCTTCTGACCTGATCCATAACTTGAATCGCTGGGTGCGCTCGAATCACTCCAGTCTGTATGGGACAGACGGTCCCTTTGCGGCCTAAGATGCGGATGCTTCTTCCAGCATCGTGATTGGTCATGACCTTTTCTCTTGCAATATCTACACTTCTTAACGGGCGTGATCACATGAATCGAGGCGGCCGATGACGCCGGGGAGGACGCCGGATCCTTTCCTCGCACGACCCGTTCTGCATTGGCGAGCCGATTGCCAACGGCCGCCGGGGTCCCCGGCTCCTTGTCATTCTGGATGGCATCAACAATGAATGCATACTCCGACCCGATCTGGGTCAGCAGGATCGCAATATGAGTTCTGTCCCCGATCGAACCTGGCGTGATAGCATTCAGGCGATTTACCAGTAGACAGACCGGTCAACAAAATCGCGTGCCGTTTTGCAACGGTTGCCAGTGGTCTCTCGCAGCTGTGCGAATAACTCACAGTAGGTAGCCAGTTCCGTCTGTTGATATAGTTCTTCGAGATCGTTCCAGAGTTCTCGAGACGTCCCAATGCCGGCCACCTGTGCACTGACTGTAGGCGAGAGATACTTAATGACAGTATGGTAGGCTTCGGCCTCGCGTCGACACCAATCTTGGTAGCAATCGTAGGCTTGCCCCTCGAATTCCAGCCGCATCTGCACGGTTGCGAAAGTCAAGTATGGGAGGAATGGGAGGAGGAATGGCGGCTATTTTTGCAAAGTTAATCAGATACATGCCTAGAGATCTCGTGAACAACGCAAAGCATGAGGGTCACCGGCAAAGTTCTATTTGTCGTGGGATAAGATAAAGTGGCCATCCTGCCACCTTTGAAGCGGCCTCAATAATGCAGCTACATGAACTGTCACCTCCTCTCCATCATTGAGGTCGCAAATGTTAAATCCAAGGAGTAGTCTTTGTGGGAAGTCAGGCATGTTCGGACAGCCGTACACTTGGGCAACATATTCTCCACTGTAAGGTCCGATGTTTTTGACTGTCGCATAAACATCCAGGCTCTCTTCATCCGAGGCTTGATCGCTATCGCCCAAGTGCATATTGAAGCAAGTAAACGTCGTGTAAGACAAACCAAAACCAAGGGGATATGCAGCATCTACACCAAGCTTGTCTAACAAAGCCTGTCCAACCCAACGATCGTACTTTATTTTCGTGGCGTTGATATCAAAGTAAGGAAGATGCGACTCGTTTTTGGGAATAGAAAAAGGCAACCTTCCACTCGGGGGGCGCGGTTCGAAAGAACGTCAGCTAGACCATGCTAGGCCATGGCCTCCTTCTGAACCCGCGTACCAGCACATAAGAAGGGCCGGTACATTATCTGTCAGGATCGCAGTGCGATGAAGACGAGAAAGATGCTTGAATTCCTCAAGATGCAGCATAGCTGCTAGAGCTATCTACTGTGTGGATCAGGTGACACACTAAATACACTACATTAGGAAGGAGACGCGGCCCAACATAAAAAAATCCAAAGAATTAAGCCACGGCTAATACTCTGTAAGGCATGACCCACTCCACGCATCCTTTTGAAGTGGGGGGGGGAGGGAGAGAATTGGAGGAAGGTTGAACGGGAAAAAAAGAAAAAAGAACAGCCCAACGCGGGGCTCGAACCCGCAGCCTTGTGATTAAGAGTCACACGCTCTACCGATTGAGCTAGCCAGGCGCTGTTGTTGATAACGCCTTCAAACTTTGACATTATACTTCTGCACAATTTTTCATTTAAAATTGCTTGAAAATAAAAGGTCCCCAAAATCAGGACAATATTCAAATTACGGATTTACTTCCTGGAAGGTAATTATGACTTTCTGGAGTGAAAGTAGACTTTCTATTCACTCTAACCAGTGGCTTGAGAAGTTAAATCTCCATATTTCAGCAAATTGACAAAGTTAAGCTTGCGAGGCTTTTTGTTGCTGAAGATGCTTTACGAATATATATTCATTTAGCCATCAGTCCAAGCCCAGGCAGTTTTCATGTATTATTTAATCAAGTTTATTGTCCATATCGAGCCCTAAAGCTATGACAGACCATATTCCATGAACTCGAGGCCAGCAGCTCGCTGCCTGCAGTTTTATGTAACGCTAAACGACGGATATTCTTGATAGGAATGCTCATTTAGGCCCTGAGCTAGCTTCGATCAAGTAGACCCTTTAGAACGTCCAACAACATACCTACAGTACCCAGTCAAACATTCGGAACTAGAGTTACCAATCTTGGGCCTCTGTAATCAGGAATGTACCTTTTCCAGCCTATACGATTTTCACTCACGACTCTAGTACTGCTCCGGCCACCTCAGCAAGGACCGCGAAGTGATCATTAAACTGCGGGATACTGGTGCCCAGAAGACCTACCGAAAGAAGTTATCAGCAGAGATAAAGGAAAAGGCAAAAAATGCAAGGAAAAGAGCTGCAGTAACGATTCTAACGTTCTCCCTGGCGAGGGCCCGATTTGTTTCCGCCAGGAAACTACGCTCGGGAGATCTTAATTTAGTTCTACGTACTACCGCGAAAGCCGAGACTGCCAGAATTTACGATAAATGGGTGAATCTCATGTCAAGCGAGGCTACCCTGCGACGTTCTACATAGGACGTAATAGTCTATAGTATCCCGATCAAGTCAATTCAGGACCTAAGTGATCAGGGCGAACAGGACCGAGTAGCCAGCGAGTTACTCGACGAGAACAGAAAGATTTAGAACTAGAAACCCGATATTAAATGCGTAGCCTGGCTTACCTATCCCTCCAATTATAAGAACTAGAAATCTTCTGCTCTCGTCGTCGAATTCTCTGACCTGAGGCATGCAAACGAGGCAATCATGAAAGAGACTATTTAAGCTAGCAATAGCCGGATAACTGTTCTATACGATAGAAACGCGTGGATTCGGCGATACTTCAAATGTCAGCAATATAGACATATAGGAATTGTTTGTTTAAATACAATAACCTGCGGCCTCTGTGCCGAAGGCCACGAGACCCGGTCTTGCGTATAGAGGTCTACTACCAGTAACTAGAGATGCAAATGCGCTGGGTGCGGCGAGACGCACGCCGCCTAATCGAAAGTTTGTACAAGGTACGTAACGGAGCAGAAACGGGTACAAACTACAGCTTAATATCGGCAGTCCCTATATCGTATCCCGCCCTATCTACAGGATTATCCTTTCGTGGGTAGTGACACGGAGACCTCTGGCTCGCCTAACAGCGAGAGGCGGGCTGCAGGATCTGGGAGACAGAGAGAAAGATAGATCCGGTTAACCAGTCAATCAATGAAGCGGAATCGTTCTACAGTAAGATTTCAAAAAAGATCTATACTACTATATAGTTCGCAGAAGCTTATCCTTATGCAGCAAGAAGAGACCCTGATAGACCTAAACCCGGAATTCAAGATAAAGCAGATCGATTCCGACCGCTGCAGGTATAAATTAGGCTCTTAAATACCTAAATACGTCCTTATGGAGTGCTCGCTGTACCTCGCCAGTCAGAGAATAATGATGGAATGCCTTGACTCTATCGAGGGACTGCGTGGGCGTATACAGGATTATGACGCAGTCATGAACCACCCGCAGGCGATATGTTATGTCGCCGATTTCATGCAACGAACAGGCCTCCTACAGCAATTCCGATTTGCTAAATTTAACGACGAGGAGGAAGAGAAGGTCCCGGAACTCAGTACCCTTCTAGAGGGACTCGATCTAAACGAGGAAGACGATAGTTATACAGAACGCTAAGGGCCAGGGAGTCTTAACTGGCTATACGATACACACATGCAGGAATACTACAAATAGAACGGAGTGGAAGGAAAGAACAGTGCCTAGGAGCGCAGTAAACACGCAGCAGGCGTGTGGAAGCCGGTTTAGTTATATTACTTTTTGATTTCCTTTGTCTACTGCTTTGAGGGTTTATATGGCGTATGGGCTCGAAATTCTGCTTCAATCGGCGAAACGCCTGCATAGCCTGCCGTTTCAATAGATAGGCTCTACCAGGTTAATAGAACTTTGATTGATTGATTGATTGATTGTTCTTCAGGCTGGGCGTGTTGGTCTCCCTCTCGAAAGCTCACCGGAAGGATTTTCTTAGCAGGATGGTCTTCTGATAACTCAAGCAGTCGATTTGTATATTCCAATTGCCGGACTTCTAGTAAGACCTCAGCTGGTATCAATCCCGTTTTACGGACCAAGGGGCTAACTGGAGTAGTTTTCAGCATGCCCGTAATAGCTCGAGCTTGCTGATTGATCATCAGCTGTATACCTTTCTGCCGATCCCTCTGACCCTGCTACCAGAGCTCTGCTCCGTAAAGAGCTATTGACTGTACTGCCGCAACCTGCACCTGGCGAGCCGGCCCTGGGGCGAGTCTATGATTCTGGCATAATTGTAGCACCCGGTCCTCCGCAGCCCGGGCCTTGCGCATGCAGGTTTGATAATGCGCCTTAAGGCTCAGGCCAGAGCCAAGCCATACCCCAAGCCACCTGGTGGCCTCTGAGTTAAATGGAACCAACTGGCCCTTTAATTCCATGCGGACTCGCTGAATCTGATCTTTGAGTGTACGGCTATGCTTGCGGGTAAGCAGAACTGCCTCCGTCTTTCCCGTGTCGAATTGGACCATATTATCATGTCCTCACTCAATAGCCACCCGGGCTGTGTCTTGCAGTTTGTCACAGACTTCTCTGACAGAGTATCCTGAGGCTATCAGGCCTAGGTCATCTGCAAATGAGAGACACTAAATCCCTGATATTTTCCTTTCTATTACCTCAAACACGCCGCTGAGGTAAATGATAAAGAGAATAGGAGATACTGGTGAGCCTTGTAGCACCCCTAAATTAATTGGGTGTGGTGAGCACTGTGTATTGTCAATCTGTAGCTGGACCTACCGGTCAGTTAAGAATGATTGTACCCATCGGATCGGATCCTTATCTAAGCCTAATTCAGTTAACTAACCGTTTTATTAGCCTGCCTGGATTGACATGATCAAATGCTCCTTTTACATCAAGGAACAGAGCTCTTACAAGCTGCTGTAGTTTCCAAGATTCATGGGTATTCTGTATCAGACATGCTACCGCATCTATAGCACTTCGTTGTTTGCGGCTGCCCATCTGTCCTGGATGTAAAGCTCCTGTTGTCTCACAATGACTGGCAATTGCATCTGCTGCTATCTTTTTAATGACTTTTTCCAGACAATTGAGTAGACTGATCACCCGGTAAGCCTTTACCACTGAGTAATCTGACTTGTTAGGTTTTCTGAGCAAGAAACCTTTCGCTATCTTCTATGTCGGCGGGTGTAACCCTAACCGGAAACATTGTCGGGCGAGAGTAACTATACTGGAACTATCCCACTCCCATAGGAGCCGGAGAGCCCGGAAGTTAAGCCTATCAATTTCTGGTGCCTTCTGGACAGACTGGTGAAATAGAGCCTGTCTAATCATCTTCTCGTCCACTTGGTCGTGCTAGGACCCTTGAGAGACCTCAGGGGTTTGACTGACCCCTGGTACCCGGGGAAAGGCTATCTCCCGAACCAGAGCCTCTTTCTCATCAATTGAGCTGGCAACTTGCCCCTGCGGTCCGCGCAGAGTTGGGGTTATTGTGGTAGCTCTAGGTTTCGTATAATCTAGAGCTTGCCAGTATCTAGCAGTGTTTTCTGGACCTGGCTGGCCTGCTGCCCCTTCCAGGAAGGCTTCCCAACAGATCCTCTTCGCTTGCCGGATGGTACGATAGTAGTGATTCCGGACTTCTCTCAGCTCTGTTATGGAGATCTCCTGTCTCTGCTATGCCCGTCTTGCCTGGCTGTAGGTCCTGCGGGCTTCTTTAATCCCTGGGCCCCACCAGCGCTTGGATCTTGGGGTCACCCGTAACTGTTTTGCATGTCGGTTCAGTACTGCTGTCAGGGTCTCCTGGATCCAGATAGCCTCCCCGGATAGGTCTTCTGATGAGCAAGTATCTTCCAGAAGGGGCCTGGTTTCCGCTTCTGTCTGCCAACAGTTTTCATGTACAACACGCGTTAATTTGAAACGCCAAAGGAAAATCCAACCAAAGAAAGAATAAACATCCAATTTGCTGTCTAAATCGCCAAGTCAATCAAACGACTACCTAGAAAGGAGAGATTCTTGTGAGTATTGTACAACTATGTACCCAAGATATTCGCCATATGGAATGGCGGGCTGAACCTCCACATGTCTTAATTAATGTATGTAGCAGGTTCAATGCAGGGCAGATGATCCGTGATAATAGAATAAATTATTTCAAATAGGTGAGACCTTTATAAATATGCTGAAGAAAAAGAGATAATATGTGTTGCACCCCAGGCATCAAAACATAACCATAATGCACAGAATTATGCAATCCGCTGCATAAGGCTGCTCTTGGTATGTAACCATCAATCGCAGCAGTTCCCTATTTCATCAACAACAAAATGCTTGAACAACAAAAGAAAAAGTAGAAAAAAGCAGATAGAATCATAATGAGAGGCAAAATCATTCCGTCAGGAACAAGGCTGCCTTCTCGTAAAGGTCATCTTTCGCTTTTTCTTGAACAGACCCTTTCTCATATGCCTTGTCAAACGCGTGTTCACAGCCCTCATATCGATGCATCTTGACATGTTTAGCCGTAGTCTCTTTGATTCTATTCCCAAGCACTTCCCCTTCGAGACAGAGGCGATCACAAGCCGCGGTCACTAGGAGGATTCTATCCGAGAACTTCTCAGCCGGTATTAAGGCTGGCGAGGCGAGAACATTCTTCACATCATCGGGGTGTGGATAATAGCACTTAATGAATGCATCCAGCAGCTCGACGGGAATGGCATCTATCGAAGTATCCGGAGCAATCTTTTCGGCGGAGCTCTGGACATTATCTGTTGGAGGATAGGCGGCGACGACATTTTGAAATGTTCCCTGCGGAAAGACCACCGAGCTGAGAACGAGCGATAGAGTTCCTCCTGCGCTGAACCCAGAAATTGATAGTCGGGAAGCATCGAACTTCTCCGGGTGCGAAAGAACCCATTGGACTGCATCTTCGGCGTCGTGGACCGGCGCAGGGAATTGGTGTTCTGGCGAAAGTCGATAGGAGCAGTCCAGGACCGCGAACCCAGTCTTCTCGACGATAAATTTACAGAATTCATCATCGCTCCCATGGAGAGGGTTCACGAACCCGCTGCCATGAAAATTGACGAGGACCGGGACCGGGCCATCTCTATTGAGCGTGTTGTAGGCGTGGATTCGAATAAACCGCCCTTCTTCTCGCGAGGGGATTTGGAGCACCTCGTCTGGGCGAGAGGTAACGCTGAAAGTTTTCAATGCAAATGCACGAACTGGATTTGCGATCTTGAGGAGGTCGTTCAAGGAAGTCATTGTGTCCCAGTAGGTAGTCAGATTTAGGTGATAGGGCGAGAAAACCAGACACAGGTCAGTAATGGATAACAACAATGGAATTGATTTGGTATTCTGTAAATCTCAAACGAGTTTATGCCTCTATTTAAAGAGCACATCTCGGACAATTTCAAGCGGATTGATAATATATCGGACAATGTTGTTTCTCCGACTAAGTCTTGGGGGCCGGCCGGAGGGATCTTGCGCCGCCTTGAAACTGTCCGACGTAAATTGATAATAATTCGTCCCCATTTCCTAAATCAAGATCAGCCGATGATTTGAGGCACAATAGGTACTACGGAGTATCAATTTCTACATAATTAGTGTGATGCTAACACTCTGGCGATCCGGCAAGTTTGTTGACCAGATTACCACGCCGATCTCGGATGGATTGCTAACCCTGTACGGGGACTTTTCTTTTTGTTTTTCTTCCTTTTTATTGTCTCTTTCTAGTATCTTATCTTAGAGACATGTTATATACGCCCTCTGACCAAAATATTGAGAAATTTTGAAAGGCCAAGGCGATCAAACACTATGTCAGCGAAGATGGGGCAATTTTACCGCTAGGATCCAACACCTTGCCGCTTGCCGTCTAGATCAACTCTGACGGCATTTCATGGCTTCAAGATAAGCCGATTTCAAAGAAGCCACGTAGTCATATTGCACTTTAAATAGATTCGTTTCGATCGTCTAAATCAAGACGATCAGACCTTCATGGAGTTTCGACTCTGCATACAAATTACTAGGCAATACGAAACTTTCATGATCTAATACACTACTATATGTAGTCCACAGTCCGTATCCAGATTATTGAGTACTCTAGAGGGGATTGTTATCTCTATAATGCTTCTGTCTTTCTTACTGTATGATCAACTAGCGTTAGTCAGATTTTGAATATAGTTATTGAAAGTGGCGCAGATTTTGGAGATTTGTCAATTCTTGGGCCAGGGGTCCCCGGAAAAGCACAGGCACTACGAGTGTGGCGGATAAACACGAGACGAAACCAAAGCCAACCAACAAATATCCATATCCAGACAACAACAGAAACTACCCCGGCGGAGGAGCGAGACGAGCAAGCTGGCTCGGACCCATTTAAGCCCTTTCATGATAATAAGCCAGCATCTGGTCCTGTTTTGACTCTGCACGCTTTGGTGGTCGGAATTCTCTGCGGCACTCTTGTTAACGCGTCCAACATCTACCTCGGCCTGAAAGCGGGGTGGACATCATCGGCTAACATCTTTGGTGTGAGTTGTCATATTGTTATTACCATCTCTCTATCAACTATTAGTGAGAAAAGTCCGTTGTCAGATTCGCTGTTCTCAGAAAATGGGCCAAATCTTCACCCTCAAGGGCGGAATTTGGGCCTCATGAGAACAATATCGTCCAAACTGCGGCTACCGCTGCAGGAGGTTTATCAAATGTCTTCGTCTCAGCTATCCCGGCGTTGTATCCATTAGGACTACTGAATACACCCTCCAGGGATTACTTTCGCATCGCGATATTGACTGCAATACGCGGGTATTTCGGTCTACTTTCCGTCGCTCCGCGTATGTTCGTCATGCCTTGTTCTGTATCGATAAATGCTCAAAGACTTTATAGTTCGGAGATTCTTTCTCGTGCATGTTGCTCGAGAGCTAGATCTTGTCTTCCCTTCGGCCTCAGCGACGGCAATGACTATTAGGAGCATGCATCAGGCTATCGAAGGGGCTTATATGGCTCGGCGCAAGATGCGGGCTTTGGTGGTTGCCTTTTCGTTCGCGCTACTTCTCCGTGTTGTGTCGCAGTATGCGATCGGTATTTTTTGGGTACATCTAACTCGGCAGATACAGTTCCCGTAGAGATTTCCGACTAAAGCCTTTCATAGGACTGGTATTTCTTTACATGGTTGATAAGTAGCGGAATTTTGGTTAACCAGGCCACCGCGATTGAGAGCTGGGGATGGTTTGTCGAATGGACCCCGGCATTCATAGGTTCTGGCATGCTTGTGAATCTAAATGTTGCTGTGTCATTTCTGGCAGGCTCGGGTCTTGCTTGGTATCTTTCTCGCACCTTGTCCCATGAATTGCAATTAACCACATGGGCTCACCTTAGGGGAATAATCGGACCGTATCTGGTTTCTCAGGGCTTCGCTTTTGGGGAACATCGATCGACAGATCCGCAATGGTCACACCTAATGTCATACTCTTCCCTATCCAGTGACTTTGCCAATGCCGACCGCCCAAGTCCTCGATACTGGTTGCTTTGGCCTGGGGTCATTTGTATGATGGCTACTTCGCTGACTGGTGCGTCTTTGATTTACCCAGGCATGATAGTACAACCCATAGAATGGCACAGAAGCTAGTTTATATATCATTATGAACAGGGCTGGCCTGTCAGTGGCACCTGATATGGACCCTTCTACGTGATTTCACACGGGCCTTGGTGGCATGGGTAGCTAGCCGACTACCAAAAAGGTCTAACTACCAATACACTATGCTATCAGGGCCCAGTAGCAGCAGTGGCACTCCCAGTGAAGCGGATGAAGGCATCAAGACATGGATGTGGTTCCCTGGCCTTCTCATTGTGATTGTTGTATCGTGCCCTATTCTGAAGATACAATACGACATGCTAATTATAGAAACCTTGTTGGCATTCTTTCTCGCCTTTATTCTGTCCTTGCTGGCTATACAAGCCACAGTGGCTACTGGTATAATATCATTCTTTCGACCAATCAAAGGGACATATGCTAATTCCATACCAACAGATCAACCCCCCCTCGGAACACTTTCCAAAGTCTCCCAGGTTATCAACGCAGGCGTCAACAGCCAGCCTACCATCGAAGGCTCTCAGCGCTTGAACCTCCTCGCAGGAGCTCTAACCAACATAGGCGGCAGTCAAGCCTGTGGTATGTTCCTCATCCCCCCCTTATCTCTCCACCATCCCTAACTAACTCTCACCCTAACAGACCTCATAGGCGACTTTCGCGTTGGCTACCTGCTCGGCACGCCATCACGCCAACAATACACTACACAGATGATCGGAACCTCCCTAGCCACATTCATATCACCGGGAATATTTGTTCTCTTCGCCACAGCCTACCCCTGCATCCTGACGACCGAAAACACCGCAACCTGCGAATTCTCCGCCTCCTCTGTCAGTGCCTGGAGGACCGTCGCGGTCGCCGTGACCGAGCCTGAGCTCCCTATCCCATCGTCCAGCCTTAACCTCGCCACCATCATGTCCTTCCTTGGCATCTTTGCCGTTCTGGTCCGGCACTTTCTCTGGCGAGGCAAATGGGCCAAGTGCGCGCTTACCATCAAAATATGATGATCCTGGCGATGGCGTTCACCCTGCCTGTAGCGCATTACGGGATCGCGTTTCTTATCGGCTCATTGGTAGCGATTGGGTGGAGGAAGGGGTCCCCTAGGGGGTTCGAGGCTTTTGGGTATGCTGTTGCCGCGGGGTTTATCGCCGGCGAGGGGATCGGGGGGTCTGTGAATGCGGCAATGCCGATCTTGGGGGCTGGTGGGAGTAGGTTCGGTTCGAGTGTGGGTTGTCCGGCTGGACAATGTTGATTGAGGGTTTCACAGTTCTTGTTGAGGGAGCTGGTCGTGATATCCCCACGGGGGGAATGCCGGCACGGAGGGGTCTAAGACGTGAATGGAGAGATCCCAGCGTCAATTGACATTTTTGCTCCTTAATCATACCATGTTTTGCTGCTTTTTTGTGCGAGGGCTATATGTGGATAAGTTCATTGTCCAGCTTGGACAAGGAGTTATCCGCTGATCCCGCTCCACGCTACGGCTCCCATCATCTTCTCCCACTTCCACGCCTTTTATCTAGTTATATTGAGACTAGCCTACAGTAATCAAACTTCGTGCACCCCACAGGATCACCTTGGTCCGTCAAAGAAGCAATCATGGTATACACAAGCACCCTGTCAACCCGAGCTGACGCCCAAGTCAGGGATATTCCAACGCCGTCTGGGACGTCCTCAGAGATCTATGACATCCACAAGAGAACCCTGGCGGATTCATAAACCTCGGCGTGGCGGAAAACACTCTGATGCACCGTGAGCTACAAGAGTTCGTCCGAAGCAGCACAAAAATATCCCCGCATGCATTTACCTACGGCGACGGGAGTTTCGGCAGCAAGAGGTTGAGAAATGCCGTTGCGCACTTTCTAAATAAGCGTCTATACCCCGTGGCTCCCCTTGAAGCTAAGCAAATCATGGTGTCGAATGGGGTTTCACACGCGATTGAGCACTGTTCGTGGGCGTTTTGTGATAAGGGTGACGGGGTCCTTCTCGAGCGACCCTATTACAAGTCGTTTATCCCCGATATTTCTCTTCGCCCTGAGGTCGAGGTTGTCACGATGAAATTTGGTCACCTTGATCCGCTTAGCCTGGACGGTGTCAGGAACTATGAAGCGGCAATCCTGAGCGCTAAAGATCGCGGTGTCATCGCGCGAGGACTGATCCTGTGCAATCCGCATAATCCCTTTGTGATAATATTTATCTTCTAGAATACTCTATAGCCCTCTCCTATTTTATGAACATGCACAACCAAACACAAGAAAACAAACTATCCACCTTATTAGCATATAAATAACCCCGTGGATACCAAACCCATCCCTTTACCAAGGAAACTCCGAGCCATCGATCGAATTAAGGAATCGTCCAGAGGCAGTTTCCCTCGTAGCTCCATCAATCTATGTCCATGCAGTCAGCCAATCGCCCCTTTTCTTCTCCGCGAGCCATTAATAACATTTCAGAAAGGAAGAGGAAAGCCTACCAAAGCAATCGTCTTGCTGGTGCTTTCTTCTAGGGTATTCGGCGCTTCTTCCAATCCCATCATTTGAGCTCCCTTGTTACCCATTTCTGTTTGCACGAGTCTGTTTCCCCGGTATTGTTAGTTTCCATAATCTGGACTATTTTTCATACTGGGAAGCTGGCATGAAATGGGATGTAGGATAGGTAATGGAAGTCACGTACCCAGGGTGCACTGCGAACGCAGTCAACCATTGCTCAGAGGCATGGACAGCCCTAACAAGGAGCCAAGTTAGCACGACAACAATATCTTTATAGTAGAGAAAAACACATTGACTCTTTCGAGTAACCGAGAAAAATAAACAAGAGCAGGGAGAAACATACAAAGTAAACCAATTCATCCCCCCCTTGGAAATCCCATAAGCAGCAACGCCATGGGCCTGGTGTACCACCAAATTACTCAACGACGCAGCCCCCGTCGACATCGACACCCACTTCGCACCGGGACCCTTCTTCTCCAACAGCTCCCGAACAGCCTGGAAGAGGAGGATTGGGCCGACGGTGTTCACGACGAAGGCGTTGCTCACGTCCTTGACGTCCAGGTTCACTAGGGGAGTCGGGTCGGGGCAGATGCCTGCGTTGGCGATCACGAGGTCAAGATGCGTGATGCCTTGTTCGCGCAGGGTCGCCACGGCAGCGGGGTAGTCGGACGCGAAGGTGCTTTCGATGCTGAGGAGGATGAGGCGCGTGTTGGGCGCTGTTGGGAGCGCGGTGAGACTCGCTGTGCTAGGGGAGTTGGTGGAGCGGACGGTGCCGATGACGGTGTGTTCGGGGCGGGAGAGGTAAGCTTCTAGAAGGGAGAGTCCGATTCCTATGATTAGAGTTAGAAGGTATTTTGGGAGGTGATGGGTGTGGGTTTAGGTACCTCTGGCGACACCGGTGATGAGAACGTTGGTGGTGGTAGACATTGTGATTGTGGTTGGCAGTCTGAAGCGAAGATTATCGATTGAGGCGATGTGAATTGTAGCTGTTGATATGAAAGATAATCAAGTGGGAAACACCGGTTTATATACTTTGTTTTACTATTCTTATGCTATTCTTCGAATCTGATGGATGTCTTACCAATCTGCTAGTTTGCTCCCTCCGTCTCGGCGGAGATCGTCGGGTTAGGGCTGGAAGTCCGCGATGGATGTTCGAGAAATGCTTAGCCTACAGGCTACGGAACTAGCGATCCTTGGGGCTCGGGAGAGTGATTAGATATCAGAAATTATGCTAGAGTAATGATTATAAGGATTTCTTTGGCCAGGCTGCGATAATGAAGCCCATGGGTATTAATTTTTAATCTGTACTATATTAACATAGTCTATGCCATCTAATTCTAACTGAGCATAGTTTCATGTCCCCAGTCTGGAATATCTCGCATAGATCCCTGCATCAAACTATCGAAGAACGCCATGTCGACGCCCTGAAAGGCCCAGTCATCCGCTCCGGCTGTCATTCCGGGATACAAGTCATTGACCAGGCGTTGTTGTGGCGCATAGGCAGGGAGCGGTTGCTGCGGCGCAATGCCATCAAATGTCTGGTATTGGGCTTGTATTTCCGGCGTATTCGGCGTAGACACTAGGGTGTCGAGATTTCCTCCGGCCTCCTGTTGTGACGTATGACCAGCATCTATCGCCGAATCGGTCGCCGGTGTCCACATCCCAGGCGGTGTTTCTTTCGAAATGACACCCTCCCGCGCCACTCGTACAGTCCCAAAGTATGGAATACAGATACGGACGACATCTACTTCGTCCTGTTCCTCCGTGAGTGCCTCGGAGATACACTCGCTCTGTGTGCTGTAAGGCCTTCCACCGGCTGCGTCTGCTTCCATTGCGAGAAGTCGACGTAGCAGGCCGGCGCTTCTCTCGCTGACGGCATCCATGCTCACCCGGCCGATTTGATCCATATTCTCAACGACCTGCTCCATCATGGCGCGATCACTGAGACGTTGATGAGCTAAGAAGTTCAGGTCACCCTTACTGCTATTACCGTTGGGGTTCTGGGAGTCTCCGGCCTGCGGAGCATGGCGTCTCCTGTGCCCGTCTAGATGCGCGAGAAGAAGTATCAATGCAGCTGTCAGCGCGAAGAAATCCACGGCTCGACAGCAGTAAGCTACACGATTAAAACAGCGGAAAGTGATAAACCGCGACAGTACTTCACGCGAGGCGTTAACGCACGTTGCCTGTGAGTAATCAAGGCGTCGTTCGGCAGCAGTGAAGCGCAGCATAAATGGGAGGTGGAGCTGATTGAGCAGATTGAAGTGGTAAAGTTGGTTCACCAGTCGCAGCATTTCCCAAAACACGGCTTGATTATCAGTTCCGGCGGCTGACGCAGCAGCGGCCAGGTTAGGTGCCAGCCACCATTTGCTGGGCATGGTTTTGGCCGCTTCCTGTAACTGATGATCAATCTCCTGGGTCTTGGCGAAGCTATACGCCCCCGGATCAGAGTCATTTCGCTCAAGAATGCGAGATGCAATCGTGCAATGAATTCGTTCTAGGCGACCGATAGGCGTGTCGTTCGCGAGGGCTGCCTCGGATGCCATACTCCGGTCCAGAGAGCCCTGTGGAAGCCCCATCATCAGACAGAAGAAGCGGTCAGTGTAGACGATTCGGTACCAGAGGAGCTGCGCGTTGAACTTCCGATGTGTCTGTGGATCAATGACCCTAAGCGGCGGGCATTTCACCCGATGCATACCCATCAGTTGGGCTAGGCCCATGGCGCGACGGAATGCGATCCAGGCGCGTCGTAGGTTTCCACAATTTGCCTGATAAATTCCCTCCATCATTACGGCCTCCAGCCCTTCAACTGTTCCTAGTAGCTCGTCGTGCGTTGTGACCAAGCTGATGGCCGTATCTGCCAGCCTGCTCATCATAGCCCGGGGCGATTCGGACATTTCCCGAAGCTGTCCATGCGACTCCGGATCGAGGTACTGTAGAACAGTCGCAATGCGAAACATGTAATGGGCTAGTAGCACCGGATGTGTATCGGGCGGTGGGACGTCCAGGAGTGCCCCGGAGGAGTCGAGGCCCTTCTTTTCCATTTCGGTGTATGGTGTCATCATCACCAGGTGAAAATGGATTGATACATGCGCTCCCGCTTTGCATAAGATATCTAGGCCCTTTCTTGACGGGAGTGCATCGTAGAGGGTCTGCGAAAGTTTCGCATATCTAGACGTGACAGAGGGTCCTGGCCTCCCTGATGCCTGGGGCTCATGGGCAACTGAAGCCCTATCATCTTGTCCGCCATTGGATGTTTCCTTAGATATCAAAAATCAGCGAAGAAAATCAGAGCCACGATTCAATCTCGTACCGCCGTCCCATCAATCAACGCCAACACCGTCCCTGGCTCATCATCCCTCGAAAAAGCCGTCGGACCCTCATTCTCACCATCGCACCGCTCACCTGCATCGTCACCTACCACCACAGCCTCACTCCCGGGCCTATTCCTAACCAACCGATCAATCAGCGCCTCGACACGCTCGATCCGGTTCCCCATCTGCCGACCCCGACTACTCGGCGCCACCTTCTCGGGAAACTCCTGACTGACGCAAGTAATGCCCCGACCCTGACATCCGACGCACACGGCATCCTGCGCCGAAGCAAACGTACACCGGGTCTTTCGCCGCTTACATTCCCAGCAGCTACTGGTGCCTTTGCGGAGCTTGCGCCGCTTGGCGGAGGGTTGGTCCGACGGCGGTGTCGGTTCGTGGGAACTCATGGGGATTTGTCAGATTGGTGGAACGGAGGAAGGAAACGTGCGGACGGAGAACTGAGTGTTGGCTTTCGATCAGAAAGTCTCCGTATGATGGTTCCTACTCTATTTGGGACTAGTCGGTTGTTGGTGCGTTGCATCTCGAGACGCCAACGCCGGATACAAACTAGTCTTGCTCCGCCTCGGCGGAGAGTCAAGCCGACTCACTATCCCGTCGCTCCGGCATGACTCAGGCACGAATCGATATTTCTAAACACCTTACAAATAAAAGCAATCTACAATATGTTTACTAGAGGGACCGAACCAATCATAACGATCAATTATATTGGGCCTAGTATAATACTAAAAAAAGGAACAACCACCTGACTTTATCGAAAACAAGGAAGACAAGAGGAAGAAGAAGTTATAAACACCTAATGCTATGCAAAGATCGCCAAGAAAACAGAACGCCATGCCAGAGCCAACTGTAAAGGCCAGAAACGAAAAGTGGACAGAGTACGCCTTACTACGCTCAAGAGGAGCTATATTCAGCCGGTGCAGATGCAGATGCGCTTTGTATTAGATGGATGTGAAACGTTAGCTCTGTTGAGTACCGGTGTAGACACTTTCAAAGTCCAGTCCATCCAGCATTCCATTCACCCGGTCGATTTCCCGGGTGAGGTCCTCGACGTTCATTGCCAGGCTGCTGACTTCGTCGAACTTGCGACGCCGGTTCGCGTCCGCAATCATCTCGGAAACGAAGAATTTCTGTTCTTCTAACACGATGAGCCGCTCGCGCAGGGATTTCTCCTCCGCTTCTAAAGCGGATATGGCGCTGCTTGCGTCGCTAGCTAGGCTACTGTTGCTGCCACTCGCTGCCACACTGCCATATCGGATGGACGACAACGCAGAGTCCTGTCGTCGATGACCAAGGTTCGAGCCATTAGTCGGGCTGGGGCTATTAGGTGAGCCCACGGAGCTCGCTAGACGTTCGGTTGCGGAGGCGTGTTTGAGGATTTTAGGCAGAGATTTCAAAGGAAGCATGTGAAGGTGCAGAAAATTGCTGGCCTGCTGATATACAGCCTTCTGGAGCAATTTCTGGGTGATCGACTCCGTCGGCAAATCGCGGATGCGCCTGGCCGCAGTGTCGTATTTCGCAAAAGAATCAGTAAGTCGCTTTCGGACTTTCGAGGCTTCCGCGATTTGGGCGGATGACGGTGGTCGCCTGTGATCTCTGTGGTCACAGTTAACGCTACTCAAATCCTGGTGCAATGAAAAACATACTGTAGAGCTGTCAACAGCTTTTGGAATTTAGGTAGAAGCAGCCGGATGCCTCGTTCAAACTGGATGAGATTCTCGTAGGCTCGGAGGTCGGGAGGCTTTCGCATGACGTCGGCCTCGAAATCTCGGCGGTCAAACAAAGTCGCTTTACATCCTTTACAAAGACGGATGTCAATCTTGATCACTTCCGTGCTGCTCGACTTCTCTTCGGACGTCGTAGATGCTATTTTATGTCAGCTAGCCACAGAATCCACCGTGGAGAAGAACATACGTGGTGAAACATTTAAAGGCACATCACTCGAGCATCCCGTTGCCGGATCGCCACAAACAACTTGCCCGCAAGTTCGGCAGTGGTGTCTCCGAAAGGTGTAGCTGGTGAAATCCTGCTGGCAGAAAGGACACCTCGTAACGCTGGCATCATCCTGCCAGCTGACAATGGTCTGTTCGAGCGCCTTTCTTTGGTCATTCGGCCATGGGATCGGCCAGCGTTTACTCGCTCCCGATTGAATTTGTTCAGGTGGCAAGCTGGCAAGCAGCTGAGTGAGGCGCGTCAACCGTTTCTCGAGCCGAGATGCCTCCAAGAATTCCTTATCCACCGTTTGTTTCCTTAGAGCCTTAAACTCATCTGTTCGGTTTCGTACCAAACCTGCAATAATCAGCCTTCAACTTTCCTTGTCCAGTCGAATTGCGGTATTGATTTACCGTTGTGATCATTATATCCTTCCCGCGACTTATAGCAAGTCTCACAGACCCTATACCAAAGACCCCTTACCGGCTCGTGCTGTGCCGACCGCGAAAGTCTCATCTGGTACATAGTATGCTCCTCGCAGAACAATATCCCGCATTTTCGACAGTTAACGCACCCGTTCGTCGCATTCAGTCGCTTCCCGCACGACGGCTCCAAACAGGTATCGTATAACCCACGCCCCTGCCAATGGTCCTTGACGATTATATCATCGGCTTCGAAGGGCCGCGCCGCCGGTTCAGGGGTAAATGCATGTGAGGGTGTTGCGAGAGGCCGACTTGCGCCCGCGAAAGTCTGTAGGTTTTCGTTCGATTCGAATACGTCGAGGCCCTTCAGTTTCTGGTTCAGGACGGCCAGCGGCTGGAATCGTTTCGCCTTGTCCATCTGCGTCTTGAACCAGTCCTTGACTTCGTCCTGTCGATCATCTTCGAGGTTCTGATGTACGTCATCGAGGTGTCTAGATTGGATTAATCGTCTGGAACGGAGGAGAGGGGTTTGCGAGCCCGTGATTTACCTATTCAACTGTAGTAATGTCACCTAGAAAGAGTCAGTCGAAAGTTCCGATGTCTAGATTCAGGCGCGTGAAGCAGGAAGGATGAGGGGAATGTCGCATACCATCTCCTCGCTGCAGATCGGACAGGCCAGCTGAGCACCGGCAGCGGCCGGAGGCGCGGGGATCGAAGAACTGGCATTCTCCAGGGATATCCGCGAGGTGAGATCTTGTGTTTCGGATGAGAACTGCGAGGCCGAGGCCTGGGAGCTAAGAGAGAGGCTGCTGGCGGAGGGCGACAGGACCCTTGGTTTGGGTTGCGGAGACGGGACAGATGTGGATGGGGAGAGAGTGTTCGCGGTGCCCAGGACACGACCTCCACCCAGCGTCCTCCGGGACATAGTGAAACCAATTTATGGGAGCATGAGAAGTCGATCCCGCGGAGGAGCGGAAGTCAAGAGAGAGAGAATTGGGGGAGAGGCGCGAGGCAGGTCGAAAAGGAGAGACACCGCCGCGAGCTGTCTGGAGATTAATTAAATCGGGTTGGTTGGTTCAGGTGATCCTCTCCCGATGAGGGGCGTCGCTGCCTGGACACCTGAGGCTAGCGTCGGAGCCTAATTGTTGCTTGCCCTCTTTTGCTTCTGAGGTAAACTACGAGAAAAATACACTTCTCGATCAAAATAAAACCTTCTATTCTTTATATGTACCACTTAAGTATTACGCAATGCAACTAACCGACACAAAAAAGCCAACAACGCTTTCTAATCCCCCGTCTGGGGAACAGAGTGTCTAAGCCTGCATAAGCAACTCCCCAAAGATGAGATCTCCAAAATTGAAATCAACTCAAAGAAATCTTACACCTTCCTCAAGCGCTCTTTCTCAGCCAACTTCTCCAACTCCTCCCTCGCCTTGCGGGCGGTCTCCCGCTGCAGCTGGTCCTGACGGCGCACAGCGATATCCTTCGGGCGGAAATCGCTGAAAAGGGTCTTGAGGACGTTCTCGATGATCCAGCAGCCAGCGTAGTCGAAGATCATCAGAACGGTGAGGGTGAGCTTGAACTCGTTGCTGAAGGGGACAAGACGCAGCTTCTCGTTCAGCTCGGGAACAAACTCAGTGGCACAGGAGAAGGCAACACCAGATGCGGCAACCAGACCCCAGTACATAGCCTTGTTCTCACGAATCGACTCTCTGAAGGGACGGCCCTGGTAGTTGATGGAGAAAGTCGAAATTTGCTGAATGAGCTGGAGAAGGTAGATAGCGCTGTTCAGCAGAGAAGGCTCGAATTCACCCTCCAGGTCAATGTCCGATTGTCTCCTGTAATCTTGTGAGCAGCATTCTAAAGGGGGTTTAGGAGGTGGACACACGGTTCAATGGAGTAGACATAGTTGGACAGATAAATCAGGGTGACGATATGGATAGCAAACTGTCCAAGCACCGAGCCGATAATGTACACATTGAAGATGTTCGGCTGGGGTCGTTCCTTGGAGAGACCTTCCACGGACTATCACGGGACAAGTTAGTATCAAAACCAACCATGAAGTGAGTAAGATCCTACCTTAGCACGAGAGATCGAAAGGAAACAGACACTCATCAGCATACCGCTGATGGTGACCTGACCATCTCCAAATTTGATACCATCCAGATAGATAACACTCAGACTGTAGGCGCTAATGAGGCAGTTCAGAGCAAGAATCTTGTACATCTGGATAGTCGCAACAAGAGTGCAGCGACCTTGACGGAGAATGTTGGGGATGGCAATGACATTGGCCAGCTTGCTAGTGAAAGGCGCAGCGACCGACGCATCACCCAGTTTGATCGTAGGAGGCTCGGATTCATCAAGCTCTTGTTCCATCATCGAGCTGGTAAGCTTGTCGGCGAAACCGGCAGCGGCCGCGGAGGCCTGCTGCTGGCGCTGCTGCTGGGGAGTCAAGTTGGAGTTGGACTGCTGCAGGGCTTGGGCGCCGGGAGAAGTGATGGTCGGGATCGCCTCTTGTTGACCCTGACCGTTGGCCGGGTTGATGCCGCGCTTCAGCGCTTCGCGCTCCATAGCCTTCTGGTAATGGGGGTTGGAGGGGCCAGGGGGGTACAAGTGCGCGATAAGGACAGGCACAGGCGGGGAAGGCTGGTTAAATCTCTGCATCATAGCAACCTGCTTCTCATAGATTTCCTTCATCTTAGTCGTCCGGTAGTGCTCGGCAATCTTGGTGAGATCGTCAGGCGAGCCGTTGAGCAGCGCGACACCAACATGAGCTTGCTTCAGAGCACCAACATCGTTGGTTCCGTCACCGCACATCAGGGTAGTGTAACCGGCATCCTTGAGACCAAGGAGAATATCCTCTTTCTGCTTAGGCGAGACACGGGCGTAGACCCAGGTGTGGCGAAGGAGGTCCGAGAAAGCCTTCCGGCCCTTGAATTTGGCCAGGGCATAACCCGTGATGCAGATATCCTTGGTTTTCACAATCTCAGTGTCCAAATCCTTGGTGGGGTCCACGTCACGGTTAAATTTATCATCGATGCTACGCCAGACCAATCGGGTGCCTGAGTTATCGTTCTCAGGAGCATCCAAGATCAAAACCTCACGGTCGACGATCTCAACCTGTCGTGCAACATGCACCGCGGTCAATGGGTTGTCACCGGTAATCATGACAACACGGTGACTGCTCTCATTGAGCATACGGACAGACCTGATAGCGTCCTCCTTCAAGGGGCATTGGAGCACAAGGAATCCAGCGAAGATCAAGTCGGACTCGACATCCTCCCGGGTGAAGTTGTTGATGCGTCCCTGAGACAACTCGGTCGAGGGGGAGAGGAACTTGTAAGCAAGAGCGAGGACACGTGCGCCGTTACGAGTGAAGTGCTTGAAGGTTTCCTCATAGTTGGGCGGAGTGTGCGTGAGCATAGATCTGATAGTCTCCGGGGCACCCTTGACACCCACGAAGGTGGACTTAATCTTCTTCGAAGTCTTGGGGTCATTGCCGACAACGGTCGCGATGGTGCTCTGACGCTTCAATGCGGAAGAGAACTGGAATCTTCTCTTGACTTGAACCGAGTCAAGCACACGAGAGGCAGGGGTCGACTTGTTCTTGGAGGTAAGAGTGTCGTTCGCGCCCAAGGTCCAGCCAAGCCACTGAAGCGTGGCTTTCTCCATAGGGTCGCCAACCACTTCGCCCTCATCTAATTTGACTAAAGCGTGAGCGCTAGCAAGAACAAGCGCGGTGTTGACCCCGATATTACCGCCATTGGCCAAACCAGTGTGGGCGCCATCCTTCTCGACCTTTGCACCACTGTGACCCAGGCTGAGACCGGCAATACCATCAACAACCAGATCTTCACCGGTCAAGGTACCAGTCTTGTCAAAGCAAGCGACATCAACACGTCCAGCAAAAGGAATACGGAAGGGCTCGGTACAGAAGATAGCGAACTTGCTCAGGGCAGCCAGACTGGTGTTGACAGCAAGACTCAATTCCATGGGAAGCTCAGGAGGAACCACGCTGGTGACGATCAGGACACAGTCCAGGAGCAACTTCGATCTCTTGCGGTCCTGCGCGACACCCTCCTGCCACACATACCACGAAGCGGCGATGGCGAAGATAAGCAGGAACAGGATGAAAAGCAGTGCCTCGGCGTTGTTGGCAGAGACACGCTCGGTGGAGTAGATCATGGTGCGGACGAGACTGCCTTGGCTGGTTTCGAAGCCAGTCTTCACAACAACGCCGATCGCACCATTGTCAGGCGGAGCAGTCATCTTGGAGCCGTTCTTGCGAGCATTCTCGGAGTCTTCAACGTTCGCGTTGGGGTGGGTAATCTGCAGGACCTTGGTTCCGCCGTGCACGAACGCGTTCTTGTCCAGGCCATCCGGCTCGATCAGATCATCGCCCGGTCGCAGCTGGATCGATTCCTTCAGAAGTGGGGTACTTTCACCGGAAAGCATGGCCTCGTTGACGATAGCACTGCCTTCGATCAAAAGGATATCGCACGCGACACCGCCGTCTTCCTTGGTTCGGTTGACCGACATGACATCACCGGGCAAGAGCTTGTCACTGGTAATTTCCTGCCACTTGCTCTCGCGGTAAACCCACACATCGTAGGGCTTGATGCTCATTCCTCGGAACTCATTGAGAGTTCGCTGGCGCTGCCACACGACCGTGCTCTCGAAAGCAACAAGCATGAACAGCGTGAACAGCGAGTAATACCAGTATTCATCCAGCATCCACAGACCGACGCAGAAGATTTGGAAAACAAAGAAGGGCGCAACGGCGTGTTCCTTCCACAGTTCAACAAAGCCCGGCACGGGGATATCGAAAGTGTTATCGCCGTAATGATACTGGATGCTCTCGATCTCGGACTTGGTGGCCAGACCTGGGTTTTGCTGGAAGGTCTTAATTGCCGGCTTGGGCTCGGCATCGAGGACGTACGACAAGGGTCCGAAGCATCGACGTTCGGGGGAGTAAAGAAAACGACGCTTCTGGAACAGGAACGAAATGTTTTCTTTTCCACCCAAGGTATCATGGACGAGGGGGCAGATTTCCGCGGACCCGGCGTTGGCACCGGGAATGACCTTGATGAGCTTTGCAGAGTCAACCGACTTGGCTTTCGTCGCCGTGAACAGGGTTTGAATGTTGATGTTCCATTTGGTCATCAACCAAAGGAGCGACTGAGCCGTAATAATCGAAGCAACCCACACAAAAGTCCATTCTTGACCCTGAATGTATTGGTCGTAGCGTTCGGGGGAGAGATAGAAGGCGAAGAATCCGGGCCAGATGATGAGGAACGGCCAAACGTAGGTGTGGACTTGAACTGGGAGGGGATTGTGCAACGAGGAATGCGCAATTTGAGGATCATCGACGAGTTTTGCCCTTGGCGAGAGGCAGAGAGTCAGTACGATATCGATGATGGCACGCGATGAAACCACGACTAGGACACCTGTAACTTACATGGCGACACTCGATGACCTCGACGCGGGTCAAGCGACGCGATATAGCAGGGGGTAAAAAAGTATATCAATGAATCATAAGGTAGAGGGAGACAGCCATGAAACACCCCGATATGCGAAGGACAAGAAAGAAGAGGTTGGAAGAGTTCGGGGGAGAAGCCACCTTAACACTTGACAGTCTAAATTTCCTTCCGCGAGTTCGCCGCCCGCAAAGTAAGGTTGAAGGTCCCGGTTGTTGCGCCCTGCGATTGGCCCGTGCCACGTGCTTGGCCCGATGTGTCGGAACATAGGTTCTTCCCCTGTCCTTGGGTGCCGGGCTGCACAGCCTTAGTCAGCATCTCATTAGTAGTTAACTATTTAGTTATTTACACACCTGAATACCAGACTCCATGCTTCCACACGATGAATCGGTGCCTCATTTTCCCGGCCTCTTCGCTTTTCTCACCATTCTACTCCTCCGTACTCCGGACTATATAGATCGTTTGAACAAGTCATGCCAGGTCAGAACTTTTTCATTGTTTTTCTCTTCTCTTTTCTCTTCTTTGCTTCTCTCTCAAGAATTATCAATATCATTAGTCAAACATGCCAGCGCGGTCACATTATTACTACTACTAAACATCATCTGACGTGACCAAGAACGACTTGTGCATGTTAATGCCGCGCGTCGTGTTTGGCTTAGGGTTAAGATTCTCCTGACTGCTGCTCCGACTTCCCGTGGAAGTTTGAACAGTCGTCACCACCCCTTGGCTATCATGTTGATCCAAGTCCGGTCTCCAGTACTTGGTCGCAGCCCGGTCCAGTCGCGATGCGTCGGCGCTGTGGACTTTGCCGTTGCCATTCATGCTGGACAGAGGCATACTGCCCGGTGTTCTTTTGGCGCTGTAAGAGACATCGTAGGTGGTGCCGCGAAACCAGCGAAAGAGTGGCCGGAGCGTAACCAGACTTCCGGCTGTGATTCCAAGGCCGGCTTCAACATTTGACCAGATCGAGATATCCGTTGTGGCATCTGGAATGATGACACTCGTTAGTTGCATGTCCACCAGAAGTTCTGCAATTGAAGCAACAGGTTGGTCTTACAGAGGAACTCCTTGTCTTTGTAGTGATGGAGATAGGGGATTCGAACGATAACCGCGGCGCTAGCACTATAATTCCATCAAGTCAACATGGATACCACCACGGAAAACATGCACTATTGATAAGGGTCGACTTACATGCACCCTAGGCTTAGGATACCGGCCAAGGCAGCCTTAGTGCGCGTGTTCATTTGCAGGTTCCAGACGAGGGCAATCGGCAAGAGACCAAGGATGAAATCACAGAGCGTTGCAACGACACTGTACAGGTATGCGATTGCAATGAGATAATCAACATCCAAACATGTTCCTGTGACTTCTTGTCCTAGAAATGCTTTTGCCCGCATCCAGAAGTAATCGACCGGGTGACATTGTAAGGTCAACATGAACCAGAATACAAGTCCTATAACAGTAGATACTGCGATGACACACCACAGCAATATCGTGTGGGCACGGGCGACGGTAAGACGAAGGAGGGCCAGTGCGATAGAGATCTTTGCGACAACGCATGTAAAGACGTAACTTGTCTGGCCAAGCCACCACCACTAATATTAAGGAGTCAGCATGGACCAAGGAAATGCACCATATGTAAAGAGCAGCATACAAACATGGCAGTTTCAATATCTCTTAGGTCGGGAATATCGCCAATCTTCTGTCCCATACCGTAAAGTGCGCCCATCATTCCACACAATGCGAACAGAATATTCAAACCCTGTATTGAATAAACACAAACTATTAGCTCGGCGCGAAGAAATAAAACAACATGGACCCGCATACCATCGCAAAAACCATTAGAGCATCATCCCATCCAAAGGCCCTCACGAGCCGCAACCGAACAAAACATCTCAGGCAAACGGCAATGAACGAGATACCCAAGAAAATAACAGTCACAATGAAAATGGTCTCGCTGCGACCTTTCAGTTCCCTCATCTTGAAGCGCAGCCTGGGTTTGACGTGATCAAGCAGGATTCATATTATTAAAATCCTCAGAGATACGGTCTCCCCGAAGGAGAGGAATCCAAAAGTCCGGGTATGGAAGTTAAGCTTAGTTAAACTGTCTTTTGACAGGATCATTCATTATTTAACGGGGATGGGGACCTGTACTAGCTTGGCTAGGGGGGACCCAGCAAGAGAAACCCGTCGTCACTACAGGGAAAGTGTATTAATCTCTTCGACCATTACTGCAATTCTTGTGTTTTGCTTTAGTCCGATTACCAACCTAGCTGTTTCTTGCAGTACTTTTGCATCCATCACTTCCTCTCTCATTGGAATTGGACGCTGCTTTTGCTCACTGGGCTCATCGTGTGATCAGTGTGTCTAAGTAGTGTAACCCTTGCACATAAACCTACAGCTTTGTAGGGTGCAATCTCATCACCTCTTTTACGTATGTGCATTTATTTAACAGATGGCAAATCAGGGCAGCATACAGAGAATTTATGCCTCGGTGTCCTCGGGGAATGTTGTAAGATTGCTTATGTCTTGCCTCGGCAGCCGTAGTATCAGAGCCATAGCCCGAGGAGTAAATGCAATAAGACCCCCCCCCCCAAAAGCGGCGGCATCCAAAACAGAACGAAAAATTTTTACAACACACAGGACAATACGCGAATACAGCTCCTGTTACATCTTGACAATCCTACCCAGCCCGTGGCAAGCAAGTTAGTAACGCAAGTGGTTTCCTAAGTGCCGATTGGAGCCAGCCTGCGGGTGCCACTGCCAAGTGGGGGTAGGTGCCATCATCCATGCAAGTCCAGTACGGAGGAGGTGGTGGCCCATTGCCGATGAGAGAAATGGCGACTTTAGCAAAACCTTATGGCAGGTTTTAAAAGACGCTATGTGGAAGCGAGGCTCTAGAACAATGGGAGGTGCGGGACAACGGGAATATGATCCTTGGTTATACGTTATAGTCCGAAGCCCCATTCATTGGCAATGGCCCCTGTTGTTTTTTGAACACCTGCATAGACGCACAAAGATCATGGAATCTGTTCCCCTCCTTCGCAACCATGGAGGCATGTACAGATGCGCGTTCCTGGGGTCGAGGAACGCTGGCACTGGACCAAGTGGACGTGGCCGCGATGCAACAGGAGATGTGGGACTCACTAGGGTGGTTCATCGAAAATCCGTCGCCAGAGGTCAAACCGCAGTGACGGCGCCAGTCCAGTCAGGTTAAACAGCCGAGGGTGGAGGCACTGGAGCGGCCACCGTCGGGGAACAGATCCACCGCATCCCGGAGGCTTCCAAAGCATTGGATTACGGAGTAGGACGTCAAGTTTGTCAAAAGAAGGGATGAAACGGCAGACTAACATTTGAACACAAATAGAAAGAGAATCCGACCACATTCTAGCTTTCCATGTCCCTTTTTTGTGGCGCTCCTATAACCTTCTAGCTAGCGCCGACTGGCCGAGTTTGCCACGGTCTTTGCACATGGGTCGGGATCGTGTTAAAAATTAAAATGCGCATGTACCTAACTTGCGTACGGTGTACGGAGAAGGCATCCTTGTCGCTTGGCGACGATCCGTACAACTGCTTTCCCAAGGCCCCGATCTGCACAGACATTCAATATCAGAACCATGGTTCCCTTATCTGAGACAGGAATGGCCAGTCTTTTCACCGCACTAGTCATTTGCATTAATTTATCGTATGAATTTTATGGCCTATGGTTTGGGTAAGATTCAAGATTACAAGAGGCCAAGCATCTTTTGAAAACAGCCAACCTTCAGGGTTTCTCAGGATCACATGTCATCACTCCAGAAGAGGTCGTCGAACACGAGATGTATTGAACTTTATTGAATCTGAATTCCTTGGGTTCTTGGATATCCAGCCTTATGGATCCTGTGGCCTGATCTATTGTCTTGAACAGCAGCGCAACACGATCCTGAGATCGGCAATCTCGGCCTCTTGTTTCCCCAAGGACTCACGAGCCAGTTTTCCTGATAATTCCGATCAGCGATGGGGCGTAGGCCGAGCACTGTATTGCCTGGTTTGCTCTTCTCTAAGCTTTCCTGATTTGGAATTGTTGTTTGTATAGACTTTCTTTGGGCGCGATGGGGAGATGAAGTTTCTAGACTTTTTCCTTGACCCGACCCTCAACTGACATTTCCACCAGCTAACTACTCCGTAGAGGCATACGAGACCCGAAACTATGCCCACCCCCTCTCGTTCTTAATTGAGATCTTCCCCCCTTCCCAACATTCTTTCCTCACAAGCATGGCTATCCATGACGGTATGACCATTCCATCCGCCCAGATTTGTGAAACATGACGCCGGGAATGACCTGCCATTGAAACTTTCGGGAGGATTGCAGACTTCCGGGTGGCCTATTGATGGTCTTGTGCAGTGGATCGTGCCGGATGTGGCACGTCCCCACCTCCTTTTACTAATGGCCTTCTGGCGATCCAGATAGCGCCAGGCACAGAATGCACTATTTCCATTTCTTCTCTTTTCCTGCGCTGTAGGTCGCGAAGATTGGATGCAGGGGATTTGTCATTGGACTATTTCAATTAACTATTCCCAATAGTTACCCATGATTCAACACTTGTCACTTCTCAGGTCAGTAGCCGAGCACTCATTTCCAACAAGCGAGAGATCGATACTATTGGCTCCGTTAGCTCCCACTGGTGGGTTTCATCAATCTGTCCATCATCGACTCCGTATGCTATTTTGGGCAGTATGCCATGCAAATCTACCAACCCACTCATTACCATGTCCTGGCCACCCGGTCCACCATCCGTCCTTCTCCAGCCAGTTCCCCTCCCCCCTTTCCCACGATGCCCACCTTCTGCAAAAATTCCTCCCTGTACCACAAAAAGAAAACATCCTTACCATCCATGCAGACTGCAGAGCCGGTTGTTTCCGTTCCATGGCCGGCCTAGAACAAGCCAATAATAGGAACCCCCGCTCGTCTTTTCAACGCCGATCAACCTCAATCCGCGTCTAGTTCCAATTGGGAGCTAAAGCATGCAACCCCCCTCCCTTTGTTGTTCGGAGCTAACCTTATATTGGAGGTTACGCCGTGATTCAAGCTCTTTGCAGCGCATTTCCTGCAGTACTGACTCGTCGAGTTGAGTTTGCTGGTGACGTAGGTAAACAATTTCTGTGTCAGAGCGCGGCTTGTGTGTCATTCTGATTCTTTCTCCGCATTTCATGGTGTATATCTGTGTTGGCGTTTAAGATAAAGTGCTGTCTCGTGTCTATCAGTTGAGTTTAAGCATAAATTGGTGCTTTAGCCGAGCAAGGTATGCTAATTATAGATGTCGTGGACTGGGAATCCATATTTCCATTTTTGAGAAGATCACCGGAGAGATTCCGGGATCTGAGATTGTTGTTTATCTGATTCTAAGGCTTTGCAGAATGCAGATACAATTCTACCCCCTAGAGATCTATGATCTCGGGTCGGGATTGTATCCAAGGGGAATATTGTTCATGACTAGGAGAGAGTAACTTGTCCCGAGAACGATGTGCGAAAATTTCTATACTGGTTAGGTACCAGTTTGGTTTGAATTTGCAAAGTTCAACCAGGGAAGGCCCTTGGTTGGGCTGCAAGATGTTTGCTTTCGTTGGGCGCTGTAGAATGGTGCAGGCTTCACTTGTGGCATCGACCAAAGCTTACCATTTTTGGATGTATACGAGTAGAAATACCACAGAGGTGTATACTGGATAAAACCCTCTACTCAACTCCTATCACTGCGTTTCCAAAAACCTCCACATTAGCATATGTCAAAGATAAGCGACACATATGTGAGTTCTCCAAGCGATATCTGTATCTGAGACTTCTTAGGATTCAAGAAGACATCTCATGACCTGTTTGCAATGAAGACCACAATCTCACCTGTAGCTTCCCACGTCAAATATAGTACAAGTGATAACTAGGCACCATGATAGGCAGGGAATATAGGTACATGCCCTTTCCTTTAAGCGAGAGGCATGGTAGACAGAGATCTAAGCACGAGATACAGGTATCGACATGTGTGCCTGATTTTCTACCCAGTCCTACCATTTTCCCTTGCATCTTTGTGCCCACCCCTCGCCGTTTGTTACATATACAATAACTGTCCCACCGGAAAAGAGGACATTTTAGTTAGGTATCTGGCGAATTGTAGATAAGCCATTTCTACGATGCAGCATCCACTATCGCATTTCGATTTCTAAATTCTTGTCCAATAATCCTACATGGTAGATTCCTACGGTAACCAGGCTGAACAAGTCGAAACGCGTAAGTGTGTTCTCAGACCTGTGTTTGGTACATGGAATCTATGCAATGTACCTGTTATCTGGAGAAGAGCTCGTCTTCGATATGACTGGTTATTACAGGTTCGTGTTATGAAAGCTTGACTTTGAAAAGAGCAGAGATGAATTTGATAGCTAAGCAAGTACAAAACTTCTGGAGCAAAGGGGAGAGGCCACTCAACATACACTATCTTACACTTCGTACGTCGAATCTAGACTTTTTAGCCAGAGGCATATCTGGAAATAGCACGGAGCTTGGGACCGAAATACCAGAACGCAAACGGTGACCCCCACCCAATAGCCATGATGATGAAAGCCAACACACTGGTCCCCCATCCATACCCAAGGGCATTGTACATTTAAGGAGCAAAGAGTGGGAATCCAAACCCACACAAACTACGAAGAACAGCACAAGCGGCCATGGCGCTGGCAGCATAGGTTTGATAGCTGTCCACAATATACGTCTGCATTCCCTGCAGGCAGGAAATCGTGCCCATGGAAAAAACCCCGGCGCCAATATTAGGCATGATCCAGTGTGTTACCGATGCTCTAGCTGTACCAGAAGAGTCCGATTGTGCTGATCACAGAGCCAACTAGCAACGACGGCATACGGAACTCGGGTTTACTGATGTCGTTGTTCTGTGATTTGAGGTATTTGTAGATGCGGTCGACAAGTTTGAGGTTGACGAATAGACCGATGAAGGATT